TTATTCTGAGATGGATCAGATGGTGGATTAGTTTCAGTTCAGAATTAATGCCTCCTGAACTTAAATGGTGGATTTACTTTACAGCTGAGTTCATTTAGGACATGCAGTATTTTGAGTTTTTTTTTTTACTAGTCTCTGTAGATTTTTTTATGTGCCAAAATGCCTGTAAACACTACCAGATCATAATTTAGTTAAAGAGGAAATATCACGCATTATTTGTGGCTATTAACAATGATACTAAGACTATTTACTTTGTCATATCATGCTTTGAAATGTAAAATATCTCAGAGTAGAAAATACATGGTGTAACTAGTATCTTAGAGTAGAATTATGCCTGCCATATCCCTTTGCTACCACCAGTGGGAGAATTTGCCGTTGTTATTTTTGTATTTTTTTTTCTTCCAATTCCTATAACTAATTTATGGACAACACTTGGTAGAGTGACATCATACCAGTGCAGGACTGAGACAGGAGCTTTTAGACAGAAGGGGCGGAGCTACATGTTTGTGCCCGATGTTCCTGATATTAGCATGGATGGATCTTAACACTATTCTAGGTCAGTGACTGATGAGAAAAATTTTTTGAAACAATGTACCATGGTTAAAATCTCAAAGAAAGAATTTCATATAAGACCTTTTTTGGGCCCTTCAAATACTGCTTTGAGTGTGTAAATGAGTTGGCAAACTTTTTAGATGAGAAAGCGCATCCGTATAAGCAACGTGCAAGACAATTTTCAGGCCACGAATTATGATTTCTGACAATAGCTTTTGGTTTAAAGCTGGGGTACCTAACTTTCAAACCATAAATCCATCTAACTAGTCCCTCGCTCTGAAAAGAGTATGGTTCTATCTTGTTTTGGTGTAATTTTGGCCTCTGTCACGTCTTTAGATCAGCTTTTACAGACGAAAAAGTGAAAAAGGGAAGACCACCCTCACTCTCTCAGTCCAAAGAGTGAAATTGTGGCACTTACATGTTTGCAAGATAAAATGTTGAATGAGTTATAACAAGTTTTACTAATCTTAAATAGGTTACTTATGATTCATCAATATTAATTAACACTATTTGCTAAAATGACAGCTCAAGCGTTTATACCAACTGCTTTCCCAAGCTCTCATATTAAATTCCACTTACATTCTGCCCATAGCAAGTTGTAATCACACCCTAAATCTGATCCTTCCCAAAAACTACACTCAGAAATCCAAGAGTCTCCACCCATCTCCATGGCAACTGTAGTAAGTCCAAGTAAATGTGGGTCAGAGCCATGGTTGTGCTGTGAGGCCGACCATCTGCTTCCATTCTGTACATTGTAGTGTACAGGAGCGCTTCTAAAGCCCAGATCTGGTTACGGAACTCTGGGGACGCAAAAGCTATTTAGGTTCATATCATGCATCGGAACAACCTCTTATGGGATGGAGAATCGAAAGTAATGGGAGATATCAAGCAGGAAGGGTTTCAAATGTCTCTGAAAGATTAGCCCAAAGATGACATTGGCACAACTAAATAAAACATTATAAATGGCAGAATGCAATTAAATAAACAGGAAATGACAATAGGTTTATAGACTTGTAATGACCAGGGGCTGACTTGACTTTTAACAGTAAAAAATAAAAATAAGGATAAAATAAACTGCATGGAAAAGTTTCATCTGGTGGACGTCAGGATCTAAGCAGTGCAAGGCCTTGTTAGTACTGTGATGGGAGACCTCTGAGAACACCAGGTGCTACAGTGGGGCGGCTGTAAAGTGCCAAACTGTTGTGTCCTTAGGCAAGACACTTCCCCCACATTGCCTAGAACCAGTTTGGTGTGTGTGTGAATGGTTGGTGGCAATCAGGGGGGCCGATGGGACATACTGGTTGCCTCTTCTGTCAGCTTGCTCCAGGGCAGCTGTATATAGTACATAAGTACTTCACCACTACCGTGTTTTGAGTGAATGAAGTGTCTGAGTGTTCAAAAAAGTGCTGTATCAAACAAATTCATTATTATTATTATTATTATTTATTTGGTTTTTTGGGGGGTTTATTATCAAATGTGACGGACATTGTGTGAAAGAAAATCTGCTGTTACCAACACTGCACTTTGTTGCAATGTAGAAGTTTGCAGTTGTTTACAGTAAGTCAACCAAAAGTCTCTGACAAGCAACTCATTTTAACAAAATTATTTTCTGGTAGTTTTATCTGAGCCAAATGATATTTCTTTCCAAACAAACCTGTTTGGGTTAAACTTGAACTGTGCTGAATGTAGTTGAAACCAGCCTAATTACTTGTTTGGTACAAATGCATATCTCATTTAAATACTCTTGTTAAGTTAATAACAATGATCTCAAATCATTTCAGGGGAATCTAAACTGGTCTTCAAGACATTTAAACATTTAAGCAGTAGGGCTGGGCGATATGGCAAAAAAGTTATCTCGATTTTACTTCCGGCTTTGGACGATTTAAATTTTTAATTGATTTTCATTAAAGTCACTGAAGACAGACTTTGCCCTTAAAATATTTTTTGATCTTTCTGCTCATTATTCAGTTTCAAAACTATTTTTAATTTGTTTCCCCCAATACGTATTATAAAAGTCTTGTACAGACTGTGCTGATATTGCAAGTATAATTATTGTGCTGCTGGAACTGTCACAATATCCTTAATTTGATTTCACGATTTTCACATTTTTCACAAATTAAATTTTTTCAAAAGCCGATTGATTGCCTAAATTTGATTTATTGCCCAGCCCTATTAAGCACTATATTTAAGGTTGTCAAAAGATAACAAAAATTCTTGACTCCCATAATCTCTCACTTTTAAAATCTGCATCTTCTTTTTGCATCTATTTCAAGTGAAATTTTCAGAAGAATGTCTTAAAAAAAGTAAATGAAAAAGGAGGAAATATTTCTACCAGATTTTTCCAACATCTGGCAAAAAAGTTGTTGGACAAAAGTGTTTTGAATGAAAACTGTGAATGTTGCCATATCATTCCTCTGTCCCTTTGATTCTCAGTGGTTGAATTGTTGGTTCGATCTATATGCAGCGCACAGGGCTTAACAAAAAGGCCTTTACCATTAATTACAAAGACTGCTTGTGCCTAATTTAGTGGTCACTGGTGAGACTCAGCTGTGACCCAGTTTGAACGGTTCACAAAGAGGCTGCTGTGAAAGGTATGGAGCTGCTTCAGAAGTACTTTTGGAAAGTTTTTTGGACAAGGCTAAAGTCTTGCATCTTGTGGACTGACTGGTGGTTCCGTACCTTCACTCCAACGTGATGAGCTGATTGAACTGAGGGCCTCACACTGTAACCCCCAGAGCATTCAATATGACGACAATAGGAAGTGTAATTACTCGTCTCATGTGGATTCTCGGTCTTTATATCTTTGGGACTTTTCTGTTTCTATGTGTAGTTTATTACATTGTCATTATTTTGGATCTTTTATTTTGAAATGCGAGTTTTTCTACCATTAACTCCTTAAGAAGAGCCAGTAGTAACACACTGTTTTCAGCATGTAGCCTTTGTTGTGTTTCAAGTTATATTCACCAGTGTTGGCACTTATTTAAGAGTGGGAATTCTGGAAGCCCGATTTTGACCTTGTGGTGCATAGTGCCCTAACTTTTTATTACAATTGTTTCCACAGGATCAATTATTCTGTAGGTTTTCTGGGTAGAGGGTCCAGCAGTAGAGTGATCTTTCTAAATAATTGATCATAACATCTGAGAGACCAGTGGGATGGAAAGTAAAGGCACTGTACTGGCCACTCTCACAGCTGTTGCATATTGTGCCTTTTAAAGTTGTTGTACCTTCATAAATAATACATTGTTGGTCGCAACAAAAATATTATGAACAAATCAGACTTCAGCATGCGATCTTCATCTGATGAGAATATTTTGTGAATATTTTGCATAGCCCTGGGAGTCACTATGTTACACTTTGGGCTGAGAGCGGATTGGCTGAGTAATTGCTGAAAAAGCTGATCTTAATATGTGACCGTGTACGTGAAAACTATTGAAGAACCAAACTCTATTGAGCATTACAGTAGGTAGTTAGATAGAATTTATGACATACTTAGTTCCATTTGTGTGGTTTGAAGATTGGGCCATGAACATATAGCACTAATCACATATTGATGCATAAATGGTTCTATGCACTATGTAAAAATCTAATCTGCCATTGTTCATAATATACAAACTCACAGACTGTTGTGAACAAAATTATCTTAACAAAATATACTTTTGTGCTTTTAACCATGTTACAAAGTTGTCCCATCGTCCAAAATAGACCTGGTGATTATTGGCTTCATTCACAGTAATATTAGCAGTTTTATTTCCACAAACTTGTCCACACCCCCTTCGCCAAATGCTCTGTTCTGAATCACTCAAATTTGTTACATCGTACACGGAGCAGCTGAGGTCTTTTTGTGTCTCCAATTTATCTCCAAGCATTTCTGAAGCCAAACGGCAATCACTGCAACAGCATTCTGATTAAGATGTTTGAACGTGTTTTATATCGCTTTCCTTGAGTTTGTTAAATTACTTCAATCCTATTTTATAACTACAAAGGTTCAGGCCAGATTTTCCATTCTGCAAATGTTACAAGTGGTTTATTTCCTCGGTCACTATGAATATTAGATCTTAGGTCACATGTTTTCAAAGATCTTAAACATTTTACATTACAAAAAAACCAAAATTGTGTATATTAAGATTTGTTTTGCTAAATAATGCCTCAGTCGAGACTTCTACTCAGTTTTTGCATTATTGTGTGTATTGTAACTTCCTTCCTCTCCATTCCATGTATGTGACAGACTGACAGTATACATCTGCATACATTTGCAAAAGTCACCAGCTCTTTTACAACTGTGACAATATGTCCAAAGATGACACATTATACAGATACTCATTTACCAACGATGGGAACATGTAGCACAAAACTTAAGCTTCAACAATCGAAATGCTATGTTCTGTGTTTGTGTCTTTATCTGTACCGTGTTTATGAGTGAATAACTGGGCTCGCATGTTTCCCGTCAGGTGATCCTGGTTTCGGCCAATAAGCTGACCCGATACATCGAGCCGTGCCAGCTCACAGACGACTTCGGAGGAACGCTGGATTACGACCACAGCGACTGGCTCAGCAAAAGACTGGTACATGTTCTCTTGGAAACCGTCCAACCCTGTGGCTTGTCGTGGCAAATCTAACATCTGCAATTTATTTTCCTTTTTCAGGTTTTTGAGAAATTCACCAAAGAGTCCACCTCCCTCCTGGATGAGCTGTCAATCATCAATGAAGCGGATAAGAGCAGTGCAGTGGATAAAGACAAGTATGTACTGTAGACCGAGCCTGTACTACTGTAATTATTACAATGTATGAAATTGTATTCTATGAACAGTTGTCCCTCGTTTATCATCAGGGTTGCGTTCCTACAATAACGCACAATAAATGAAATCTGGAAAGTATGTTTTAAAGCTGTAAAACCCCTCACCACACACTTTATCCACCATCAAAACTCATCTGTTTAGACAAGCCTATTGACTGACACGATAACTACACCATCGTCTCCTCATGCCGTTTTTAAATCTACTTTTACTTGATATGAGTGTCTAGAAAAAAATTATAACGATACAATTTATTTCTTGGGCACCTTTCTGACCACCTAAAATATTGCGGAGATATAAAACCTGTTTGTTGTAGGTCTGAGCGTTGCTGCATCTGTTAAAAGCCGTGCATACACTGTAAAATACAGTGCCAGAGGTCCACACTTGGGGGCAGAAGCAGGACTAGGGCTACTGAAGGACTGAAATAATTAGCCCGAGCCTATACAAAGTATTGGAGAGGGCTATTGTTATTCATGGGTTTCATATTTTTCTTATTTTTTCCCCCCGAAAGGATTAGATTTTTGACCCTAAAGACATGCACAAAATTTGTCCGCCAATTTAACTCATTAATAGCACCGAATCCTATTCATGAGCTTTTCCATGCGCAATTTTGATCCTATCAGGCTACGAATTTATCTGCAACACCGCATGCCGCTTACGGGACTGGCGGCTGCGAGATGGGCGAGGGCTGTCATTGCCCCTTACAGCTTTAATTTATAATTCTTTTGTATTTATTGTTTATTTGGTTGGGACAGTGCATGTTAATGAACACACCTCTCTTGATTGTATTGCATCGGTTGTCCCTCAGTCACACTCACAAACACACACTCTTCACCCTGAACCTTTTGATGTGATATTAAGATGTTGTTGGAGTAAATACACAAAAAATCCCACCAAATTGCCCAAAAAAAAAATCTGCACAATAGCGAGGCAGCTAAAGGTGAACTGTGTTATAGTTATAATGTACTCCTCATTACTCTCAGGCTGGACTAAATCGTGTTTGCTTCACAGAGCGCTGGACTGTCATCTGCTGCCATCGGTTGACCCTGAAACTGTCCTCCAGAGTGGTAAATATCAGCCACACACCACACATTTATGGATTAAGACCATAATCCAGCCACAATGGGATTAAAGGTTGCCTGAAGATAAAAAAACACTTTCAGTAATGTGGTATTTTTGAAGCATTTGGTATAAAAAGGAAAAGAAAAAGTTATTTTAAATGATCTTTTGTTGTTTAAATGAGAGCATTTGATTAGTTCATTTACAAAAACAGATAAGTGCCATTAGAAAATGGCACTTTTGGAAGACTTAGAGTTTGCTCTTTACCCTGTAGTTTTGCGCAAAGCCAAATCTATTCTAGGGCCATACAAATAAAGTCTTAACCCTTTTTGAACTAAACATGTTGAAGATTGAAGCTAGAGGAAAATATGTTGTTAACAAATTTTCAAAATAGAGATATCTGTTTTTCAAAAGAACTTTACTTTTAAGGCGATATCTGTGATTTATTGATCTACAACAATCAGGACTGCTCCAGAACCATAGGTGTTTTGTGAAAAGACTTCTTGGTCTATTGTCAGAGAGATCAGTAAAATTGGACTAAGGTTTGGGCCCACACTTAGCTGATCTATCTGTCAAGCTCTCCTTCCCTCTCTGTGTAAGCCCATAGACACTTGAACCCTCCACTTGGACCTCGAAAAGAAAATTCTTACTAAGAGCATAATCTCCACTCCACAGTAAATACAGCCTTGTCATTATGGCTCAGTGTAACCGTTTTACATTTCACTTCTTAAACAACCTCAAAGAATATTGATACTGTGGGGTCTGAAGGCTTCAAGATAAACACCATTTATGAATAATATATATTGATGGAAGATAGTAATGTATCTAAAATGGCAGTTAGCTCGACTCTACAAACTCAGAATTATGTATTTATCAAGGTTCAAATCATTCTATCTTGTCTCGATTGGCTACTCTAGTCATCGGCCTTTTCAGTATTGTTCTGACATGAGCTGTTTGTGAAGAGGCTCTTTGTACATGGTACCACTCTGCTCTCCTCTCCCTCCCCTCTCTCTGCCCTCTCCTCCCCCCCCTCTCCACAGTCTGATAATTGTCTGGTACTTGTGTTTGCACGTGTTGCAGGTCATGAGCTGCTGTCAGAGCTACAGCAGAGGAGGTTCAACGGCTCCGAGGGGGGAGGACCTGGAGGTGTGGACACTGTCTGACATGCCACTATTACCATTTCATTCCATTCTTTACAAACACAATTGCTGTGCTTTACCAACAATGAATTGAGAACGTTTTCAGAGTCCCAGTAAAGCTGCTGTATGATTGATACAATTATCAAAGTCATTTTCAGGCCACAAAATAACCTGTTCTCAATTTGACTTGTTTATCCTCAATTCAAAAAATGATATTCCAAATACAAAGTCTATTTACTCTAAAGAGATTATCAGCCTTGTTTACCCGGTAGTTTGCTGGTTGTGAGCTCGGTTACGTCTGCTGTTCATGTCCAACCAGGGAGTAAAATTGCAATTAATCATTTCCCTACAAGGAAAGATTTAATGTTATATCTTAACTATCATGGGAAGAAGGACTAACTGTCTTCTTCTTCCCACCTCTTTTTGAGCCAAATTATATATGCTGTACAGATCCTCCCTGTACCTCTTTGTTTTGTTTTGTCCTTAATTTGTTGCCCATGTGTGGGTACAGGGATTTATGTATCATGCGGAATGTTATCATTTTGTTTTGTTTGGCTCAAAATAAAGTATTCATTCAATCAACTATATTTTAGTTAAAAGTGTAGTCTAACCTTCTGTAGGCCCCATGAAATCAGAAATTGTCCAGACAAAGATTGAAGAGAAGTTGTGAGTCTGACTCTCACATGTTGACTGGTGTAGGGCCGGCGTGGTGTCCCATGGAGGAGGAGCTGCTGGCTCAGCCTCAGGTCATGAAGCTGCTGGACTCTCTGAGGGAACAGTACACCAGGTACCAGGAGCTGTGCAGGCAGAGGAGCAAGAGGAACCAGCTGGAGGACATCCACACCAAGGTCATGCAGGTGAGTAACGGGGAACAGCAAACAAGTATTACTGGGGGTGCTGGGCATCATTAGCACTCTAGCTTCTCAACATGAAGGCCCTGGGTTTGAATTTTGGTCAAAACAGGGCCTTGCAGAACATAGTTTAGTTTGTATGTTCTCCCTGTGTCTGCATAGGTTTCCTCAAATTTCTCCGGTTTCCCCTACCACTAAAACATGTACAAGAGGTAAAATCCTCCAGCTTTGGGAATTGGGACCAAGTATCTACATCCAAAGATGGCTCCCTCTGTGCAGCTCCTGACAGGCCCTAGTGGCATTAAAGCATGGGTCAAATGCAGAAGAGACATTTCCTTGTGAGGATCATTAAAGTATAAAAGTAGAACAATTAAAAAAATTGATGAATTGCCCTACTGCATTTTTTGTTTTTTGATCCTCAACATTTTATCATAACAGACAAATCTGCTTAAAATAATTATTCTCTACTGCTGACATATCTGACACATCATATTATTGCAACAAACCCTAGAAAGTCATGTTTTTCCAACAATCTTATCTCTGCGGATCTCTGGGTGAACGTCAGAACTAGGCCAACCCCCTCCAGCTCTGCCTCGCAATCCCGCAGCATCCTTCTCCCAGACCGCCCCTTACCCATCAGCCAGAAGCCTTCAGACCACGGCCTTTCAGACAAGTGTAATCAAGTGTGTGCGCTGGTCCTGGGGTCAGAGGTCTGCGCCTTACTGCCCACAGCAATGTACTCACACACCCACACACGCATACAGATACAAGATTAAGAGCTGATAATTACATGGAACCAATTGGATGCTGGGCAAAGCTCCATATGCAATGATCTAGTGTTAAGTAATCCTCATTGCTTTTTTCCCCCCTTTTTTAATTGAAGGGAAATCTCAGTGTTGAATAGAACACACTCAAACCAGATGAATGCAGAGCTAGTATAGTTGATATATGATATGATATGGTCAGAACTAAGTTACTATGGGCTACCGTGGGGTGTCATATATTATCTTAAAGCTAACATTCCCAGAAAAAAACTACCATATTATTGAATACATTTTAAACACTAAACCCTTGATACAATTATGTTTGTTTTTTGAAACATAATATTTGCCTAATCAGTCTAACAATCCTTAGTATCCTTTGGTCTAGTTTTGGTCCAATCCCATCATATCTACAGTAAACTATTGTCTTTAAAAATCTACCAGAAAATGGCCAAGCATATTTTGGCCAAACCATTTGGCCAAAATACCTCTCATAATGTAATTACAAATATCAGAAATGACAACATACATATTCTTAAGCAATTATATTTTGGTACACAATAACAGCCTTAAAAAAGTCACAATCTCGACCAAAATAATAACTCTTGAAACAACACCTTTAGCTTAAAATATGTATTAATTTGACCCTCGAAGTAAAACGGGCCTGTGTTCTAGATAAATATATGTCATTGTCTCTCTCTTGGCATTTATACACACAACATGATCCGCCTGACAAATACAGCCCATGATTCCTTGATGAGCAAAGTATACATTTGACATCTATCTGCCCCGGGGGTGGGATGTACAGCAGAGTGTCCGGGGTCAGACGGTGGCACTGCCTTGGAGTTCATGAGGGTTTATACTGATCACTGATGTTTGAGTCTGAAGAGAGGGGTCAGTGCCTGAAGCTGTGTCTCCACATGAGCCTATATATGTATATGTTTTATATATATATATTTTATCCATGTCTTTTAATGCATGTATTGATCTATTGAAAGTAGGTACAGCTTTTTATCCATTGCAAAGTTTGACAAATATTATTCTAGTTTTGTGATTTGTAACTTATGTATAACTACAGATTATTAGCTTTTCATCACAAACTGGTGCCACGCTATCATTTATTATTACTACATATATTGTCCCACCAAATACACTCAAAATTACAAAAGCATTTTCATTTTCCAGATTGTACACAATACACACAAAATAAATCATATCTGTCTCTGTCTCAATGTTTTTGCCTTATTTCTCATTAATGATGGCATCAGTGACATGTTTGAAACAAGTGTGAGTGTAAAACTGTTCCAAAGCTTCAAGTGCGATGCTATATTTCATTTTTGGAAACATTGGCCATGAAATCCTGGAGGGACTGTTAAAGACCAGAGCAGTTTGTGTGCGTCTGAATACTTGGTCCAAATCTGGCATCCTTAATATTATTCATTCCTGGTTGTTGAAAAGACGCCAAAATGAGTTCTGTTTTCCGGCTTGACCTCCAGGTGGTGACGTGGCTCCAGGGCCCCGGCTCCGAGCTGCTGAAGTCGCACCAGGCCATCGGGGACTCCATCCGGGCGGCACAGGCCCTGCAGCAGAAGCATGAGGAGATCGAGAGCCAGCACAGCGTGAGTCCACAGACCCAGCACACGTGACCTCCATCTTACCCTCCTTAGTAGACAACAACAACTCGCTTTGATTTGTCCTTTTCAGAGCTGTGGGGTGAAGTCATCAATAACATTAAAATCATTCTCAAGAATCATTAACAGGTCTTCACTTTGAGCCAAGACCTTAAAGGACTTTCTCTTTGGGAGATAATGGCATTTAATGTTTTTCATTAAGTATTCATTCATTCAGGAGAACTTGGCACAGTACATTATAGCTTCCTCCTTTTGTTTTTTGGACTTGAGCTATTGATTATTAGCCTGGCTCCAGCCGACCTTCAGCCACGCCTACATAGCTTTTCAGTGGGCAGGTCGCTGAAATGTTACGTAGGCTAAAGGTCGGCTAGAGCCAGGCTAATTGATTATTTTAATAATAAAGTATTCTATCCCTTTTTGCCTTCAATCATTCAAGCAACTGCATATGAATGATTTATTATAGGAAATCAATCCTGAAATATTATTTATTATTTGAATCAGTCTTCAGAGCAGTGTTGGCACCACGCTGAAATATTTCAGTGTAAGTTGTGCACTGAACTTAGTATTTGCATTTCTGACTAAAAATGGTCTTTGGAAAGACAAATCTGCACCAATGTTTGTATGGAGAGTAAGAGGGAATGAGGCCCGGGCCATTTCGTTATACCTTCTGAAAGTCTGATACATGATCATACATTACATACACTATCCATCTACTTTAGTTTTACTGTTTTACAACAACCTGCTCAGAGACTACAGCTGTAGATTAGCACTGCTGCCACAACCTGGTACAATACATCTCTCCTTTTGGCTAATGTTTATAGTACACTGCACAAAATAACTATGATTAATCAAGGCAAAGGAATAGTAAATGTCTTTTTAGTAATCGATCATCTGGATTAATTGGATTCATCATTTAAGTCCTAGTTCCTAAAGAAGCAAGGAAGTGGAGGATAACATCTTGACTTCACTGTTCACTTCAAATGGGTTCTTTTTTTTAACTAAAGAGTTTCTTTGTCACATTTATCTGATGTGTGTGTGTGTGTGTGTTCAGGAGTGGTTTGCGGTGTACGTGGAGCTGAATCAGCAAATCGGAGCTCTCCTCGGAGCCGGAGAGGAGGAGGAGGTGGCAGAGCTCAAGTCTCTGCAGCAGACTCTCAGTGACGTGTGCTACCGCCAGGCCGCTCAGCTGGAGACCAGACAGAACGTGCTGCAGGCCGCCCATAGCTTCCACAGCACCACACAGGAGGTTAGAGCTTCATCAGAGCATCAATGAATCATTCAAAAGGTCCTAAATGTGATTCCACCAAACCTGAAGCTACTCTGTTTATACACGATCAATATTACATGTGACGGGAGGTAAGCGATACAAGTATTGTTAACAAACGTCTACAAGGTCCTGGAGTTGTATTGTTAAAGCGCCTCAATCGTCCAACACTGTTACATTTTAAAGAAGTCACTTGACAACAGATGAAGCGGAAGAAAATGGATGGATGGATGGATAGTTTTCATTTCTAGAATATTTTAAACTTGTTATTGTTAAGTATATATAAATATATACAATACATAATTACTCAATATTCACAATCTTAAGTGTTGGGTTAAATTTGTCTTGGAAGTCTGGGAGTCTCTGCTTAGACTGCTGCCTCCGTGACCTGGCAACAGATGAAGCGGAAGAAAATGGATTGTTGGTTTCACACCATCACAATTATTACTACAATTGTTATCAATGGTTTTCAGGGAACAACCACATTTCTCTGATTTCTTTAGTCAATGATTACAGTTCCACATCTACGCAGCAAATTCTAATGAAAAAGTTTTTTTGAAGAAAACGCCCTAATTGTAATTATTTTTGCCCATTTATTTTTGTAGTATAATCTAATTCTCTGATTTATGAAGTCTGATCTAAAGAGACACATATAAATTCATTATTTCTTTTATAAATGCTCTGAAAATTTTTGTTACGACCTTAATAATTATTGATGAATCTATTTACATTCACATTATTTTGCTCGTAGTGACGCCAGAAGTGGAAGTAGGCATCTCATATATAAAAAAGTTACTCGGTATGAAATAAATCCCCTTTCAATCAAAATGTGAGTCAAATGAGAATCTAAAGCCATTGAGTCTTTTTGGGTGCACCGCCCTCTCCTGGCGACTCGTGGTAGTGCGTCTTTCGCAGAATCAGAACTATTTTATTGCCATTGTAAGTAACGGGAAGTCACAAACTAGACATTTTCTTATATAAGAAAATTAGGGCGACAGTAGCTCAGTTGGTAGAGCATTGGCCTTCAGGCCTGAAGGTCGTGGGTTCAATTCCCACCTCTGCACCTTCTCCACCGACTCCCACTGATGACTGCTGTCGTTGTGTCCTTGGGCAAGACACTTAACCCCACTTTGCCCAAAGCCCCCACTGAAAGATCAAGGCTATGCTCACACTCAGAGCAGCCGTCCTCCTGTGGACTCACCACCTGCAGAGGGTCAGTGAGGGGCTGGTGCTATGAGACTTGGGTGGCATCTCTGACTGCCACCCCCCTGACCCAGAAATGGATTAAAGGGAAGAAAATGGATGGATGGATGGAAGAAAATTAGCATTGGGATTGTTTTTGACCAAATTGTAAAGAACTTTGTGTTGCACTTTCTTGCTGAAAAGCGCTTTATAAATAAAATGTGAATGATGGATGTATAGGCATGCATAAAAAAAATCTTCTCAGTATACATTTTCTTGAGACATCATACCTTGCAAAAGTAATAACATAATGATCACAAAGTTCAAATGTTTTTCGCTAATGCGTTTCTTAGTATAAATAGAATACTGTTATTAGAGTTTAGAATGGACCTTCTATAGAGGAAGTGCTGTCTACAGTTTCATTTGTTCTGAAACACAGTGTGTCTGTCCTCGCAGCTGTCCCAGCAGCTGGACAGTCTTCTGGGCATGCTCTGTGCAGACGTGGCCCCGGTCGACGGAGCTGCCATCCAACAGAACCTCAAAATGCTGGAGGAGAAGCTGCAGACTGTGGGTGCGTCCAGCCACAATATTATACTTCTGTCTGGGAGTTCTTTAAAGCTGGGAGACCTAACTTTCAAACCACAAAAGTTGAGTTATATCTCAAACAGTTTGCCTCTATCACTAGTTTTCATATGCACATGTTTATGGCCTCTGTCACCCCCTTAGATCAGAAAAGTGAAAAAGAGAGGGACACCCTCACTCAGCCAATCAGCTCGCAGCCCAAAATGTCAAGTAGTGACTCCCAGGGCTTCTCTTGCAAAGTATTAAAAACATCTAATACAATGAAGACAGCATGTGGTGGACTGATATTTCACAACGTAATACTTTTACAAGACTCATTCTGTTGGGACAAATAAAATATTTATAATTTATTAAACAAAAAATTTAGGTAGCCCAGCTTTAAGTCCTTTAATTGGCCAATGGCCTGTTTTTCAATCCAATATTTTTTTTTTTTTTTTGTCTATTTATTTATTGTATGTTATCATATTTTAATAAGATATTTTATATGGAGTTTAGGGAACAGGAGAAAGTTTGGTCCATCAGTGAGGTGTCACTGATGGACCAGTGACACCTGGTCCATCAGTTTAGTATTTGAAATAAAAAAGACTAAACTATTGTTTTACAGATTAATTTCTATATTAAAGTTTTGTCTTGTTGTTTGCACTGGTCAGAGGCCGGCCAGACGTCGCTGCGTCAAAAGGGGGCGCTGTTGCTGGAGCAGATGTGTGGGCAGACAGCGTGGCCAGTGGAGGAGGCGGACAGGAGCTCAGAGGAGCAGCAGGAGAACGCTCAGCAGATCCAGGCCGTCATGGACGAGATGCAGCTTCGCAAGCAGAGGTCAGAGCCACAGCTGCTCCCCCTGGCAGAGACCACTAGAACATGCCAATGTCAACTTTATATTTATAGCACACCACATGCACCAAAGAAGTGTCAACGATTTAAAAACCTCCAATGAAGGAGCTGCTCTGTTCTTCAGAGGTAACTATTCCACAGTTTGGGAGCAACAACAAAGGGCCGGCCTCCTCAAGTTTTGAGTCGGAATCTGGGAAAATTCAACAAAAGCTGGTTTTCTGACCTCACTGATCAGGAGCATACAGAGATAACAGATCTCTGATATACAGGGGCTAAACCATTTAAACATTTAAAAACAAGCATCAGAATCGTAAAATCAACCTTGAATGCGACAGGAAGGCAGTGAAGTGAAGCCAGGACAGGGGTAATGTGCTCTCTCTCTTACGTGTCCCTGTGAGCAAGCGAGCGATAACTTACACTTTTAAATGAGCACTTTCTTGTTGATTCCGCAGGTGTGAAGACATGGTGGACGTCAGGAGGCTAAAGATGCTGCAGATGGTCCAACTGTTCAAATGTGAAGAGGACGCTTTACAGGTCACAAAAAATTTCTCATTGAATGTGCTGTCATTAAAACAAAAATATACATGACTATTTTTTTGTTTCAAATTATGAATCAATAAGATTTTGGCTAATTTAATTGACCAAAAATATACGTCACACAACATAAATTGTAGAGAAAACAACAAAAATATAGAGTTCCCGATCATATAAAACAAAATAAATGTTTTTTTGTTTGGTTTTTTTTTTACAAATATTTGAAAGAAAAGTAATGAGCAATGAATAGATGCATTGTGTTTTTATAGTTTTTGTAGTACATAACCAGTGGCTATTTTGTATCTAGGGGAAGACATTTTGAAATCCATTACCAATCTATTACCAGAAACAATAAAAGATTTTTATATTTTTATTTCCCTCTATATTCCCTCTAAAATGTATTAATGTATCTGGTAAATTGCTCAATTAAATTAGCCAACACATTTATTAATTATTTAAAACTTAAAAATGACTTGCACATCAATTGTAGTCAATTTTTGTAGTCTTTTAGAAAAAAATGTATATATATTTATGGTTGTAAACATGACAAAATGTGCAAAAGTTGAAGTTCTTTTGATACTTTTGCAACCCACTAAGCATCACACACCCTAAACCAGAGGTGTCCAAATCGGTCCAGAAAGGGCCGCTGTGGCTGCAGGTTTTCTCGGACCCAGCAGGAGCACTCCTCCCATTTCCTCAAATCTTCAGGGTAAGACTGAACTCTCTTGAGGAAATGGGCGGAGTCTGCTCTGCTCCTCTTGGGTCTGATCCAAAACGGTTTGGACACCTCTGCCCAGTACAAATGAAGCAGTCTTTCATGGTAGTAATAGTAATGATGGTAATGATGAGACTGTGTTCTGCTGCAGTCGGTGGAGTGGCTGAGCGAGCTGCTGGACGCTCTGCTGAAGACTCATGTGAGACTCGGGGACGACTCTCAGGAGACCAGGACCATGCTGGACAAGCACCGCAAGTTTGTGGACGTGGCTCAGGTGAACCCTCCCTCATGTCCTCTACTTTACATTCTGCTCCGCTCCAGAAACAGGCAAAAGGAAGGTTTTGTTCCAGTCAAACTAATGTCACAGAACACATTTAATGCAAGTTGGAAAGAAATTTGTTACTGTTAATTCAATTCAATTTATTTTGGTATACATATATATATATATATATATATATTGCCCTAAGTCACAAAATGGTCTCAAAGGATTTTACAAAATTGATTCACCAACAACACATCAGGGAATCAAACAGTTCAAACTCAGAAAATGCAGTAATAACAAACACATTGATCCATAGGGACTGGGATGACCACTGTCCATAAATGTTAATAAATGTCCTTAAAAGTCCCAGATCATGATGATTCTATCTTTAGAGCTACCTCAACTGTTACGGAAGAAATCATTTCAAGGCAGTACTTGCTCTATCCGTGACAACATAGGGTACGGAGTTTTAAAAAAGGAGCATTTCAGGGGCAGGAGGCTGTTTTGGGATTTACTTGTGCCAGATGTTCATATTATTGGTCAAGATGAAGCTAAACTGTGGATGGTTGAAAAGTTAACTGAAAGAATGTGTTTTGTGTGTTTGTCATATTTCTGAGATAATGAATGATAAGTCAATGACACCAATTTCTGTGTGTAAATCTCAAGAAAAAAACTTTGTAACATGATTATGTAATAGTACAGACTTTAAACCCATCTCTAGACTAGTATAAGTTTGCAGATGAATCATCATCACTGAATCTGTACCTTTACTCCAGCAACATGAATCAAAGTTCATTTAAATAGTAAGTGTGTCTGCTCCGTGGTTAACCGTCCTCCGCCTGTGTCCTCAGAGCACGTACGACTACGGGCGCCAGCTGCTGCAGGCCACCGTGGTGCTGTGCCAGTCTCTCCGCTGCACCACGCGCTCCTCTGGGGACACTCTGCCCCGACTCAACCGTGTGTGGAAGCAGTTCAGTGTGAGCGCCGACCACCGACAGACGCGCCTCGAGCTGGCCCTGGACTTCCACACCGCGGCAGAGACGGTCAGCATAACTATTGATAATAATGAAAATAATAATGCATTGGTTTTGTGAAACGCTTTTCAGGACACTCAAAGATGCTCCACATGTCATCATTCATTCTTGTTCAACTGCTATTGTTGCCACAGCTGCCCTGGTGCACTGACAGACTCTGACCACCAACCATTCACACACATACAAGACTCATATTAGGCAATGTGGGTGAAGTGTCTTGCCAAAGGACACAACAACAGTTTGACACTTTACAGCTGCAGCCGCCCCGTATTTCTGCCTTTCAAACAACTAACAAATACCCCTTTAGCACTAAGCTAGACATTATTTCCATCGTTAAACAAAAAATGGGGAACTGTGCTTTAATGTGATGTTTTTATAAATTTAAATCCAATTACCAGGGTTTGTAAATGTTTAATTAGTTTGGTAAAAATCACACCACATCCCACAATGATACGCAACGTCATCGCATTAGCTGCCTTCTATGTTCTTCTTAAAAGAAAAAACATTTCCAATAAAAAAGCTTAAAAGAAATTGATTCTATGATTTAATGTAGTGTGTTTTCTCCCTTAGTGTTAATTTATTATCTATTCTGTACAAAAGAAAATCTATGCTTTCAGGTTGTGACAATCATCTGCTTTTGCCCCAATGAGGGTAGTAGTGTTGTATGTTGTTATACTGTCTATTGCTTCATCTGTGTGTTTGGCACTGTGTGGTCTTAACAAGTGTGTGTGTGTGCAGGTGTTACAGGAGGTGTGTGTGGACCCAGTGGCTCTGGACGATGTGGACTCCTCTGGGAAAGCTCTCCTGGACAGACTCACCACGCCGGTCGTCTTTCCTGATGGGTAAAACACTGAATACCTACATGTATCTGGGCTGCATGTTTGAGACCACTGCTCTGACCTCTTTCTAATCCCTTCTCCCTCCCTCCCCCAGGACCGAGCACTTCTTCGGCAGCCCCAGCGACACGGCGATGGCGGCCGAAGGCGTCAGAGAGCGCCTCCTGCTGGTGGAGGAGCGGCGGCTACAGCTGCAGGCGGCGGGCATCGGTTACCACGACGACGGAGAGGACGGAGGGCAGGAGGGGGTGGGCCTTCTGAAGAGACAGGACTCTAAGCTGGACGTGATCGGAGAGGAACTGAACGAGCGCGAGGAGGAGGAGGAGGAAGAGGAGGAAGAGGAGGAGCTGCACAGAGACGAGCAGGACTGTTGAAACGCAAACATACGAACACAGACTGAAGCAGGATTATGTGGGGTTTCCAAAGGCTACATCCAGGGGTTATGGGTCTAGTCCCGTCCTAAGGTTTGACTGGCTTTTACGCACAAGAAACAAGGAAATACCAGGAGTAGTTTCAGCCTCATCCACAAACTGTACAGTGTTTATAATGTTGAAAATAACTATTCACATAAACGGTCGCAGTCTATGAAATGTACAGTTGCACTTTTGTTACATAAGAAACTAGCATTCTTTCTCCTGATGCGGATCATTGCAGCGCTAGCATTTCCTTCACTATGCGGACAATCAATCTGCGTATGGCCGAATATTGTTCCCTCGTCAAAAACAGACCTGGAGTTGGTTTTAGATCCATCCAGGTTAATGTCAGTAACTTGTCACTCAGCTGCTTCTGTCTAAAAGCTCCCGTCTCGTTCCTGTAATAGTATCATGTCATCGTACCACTATGACATCACACTCGGCCTTTTAAAACAAAAGTGTTGTCCATAAATTAGTTTATTAGTTATTTTTCAGGTGACATGTTTTTTTTTTCAAATTTGAAAACACGCTGCTAATTGTAAAGGATACAAGTTCTCCCCCTGGTGGCAGATTAGAGAGTTACAGGCAGACACATTTTTTTACCTGCATACTTGTTTCACCATATTGTCTACTCAATATATTATTTTGCTTTCTAAAACATGAAATGACAAATGAAATACCCTCATTTATTTGTTTTAACGGCCAAAAAGAATGTGTAGTATTCAGATCTTTCAAATGATTTTTTTTAACACTAATATATTTCCGATGCTCTACTCTTTGACCAGATTTGTGGAAAACCTTTTGACATAATATTCTAGAGCAGCTTATTGTCTTTTTGTTGTTTTTATAAGGATTGAGCAAATTCGCTTTTACTAAAATGTATTACGTCAAATCATAATTATCACCTTTGTTATGCAAATTATTATGTTATTTACCAAAATGCAATTTATTGCAAATCAGTCGGCTGTAACCAAAGCAGTTCTTAAGTTTTAGTCATCCAGATATGGCCTCCTCTCTCAGCAAACTCAATTATCAAATTCACTTTTAAAATGCATCATAAGGAAATTAAACCAAGGGCTCATTTTCCCAATAGATATGTGTTATTTTAATGTTTAGTTTTTTTTCATTTTCTGTCGAACCGATTCAAAGAGTGGATTATGGATATACGCATTGTAAGAGGAGACATTTGTGATGGACCGTTGCCTAGGTTACAAAGACAACCTCGTCATGTTGGTTTGACATTTCAGTAACGTTGGATGTAGCCTGCTAACCCCCAGTCTCTGTCTACCACACGAGCTCAACGCCTCCGCTGCATTCTGGTTTAGAAACTACAAAATCGCTGCACTAAAAAGACTACACTTCCCATCAGCCACCTGGAGAAAAGCCCATTCAAGCGCCTGTACTGTTACTTTGTTATACTTCCCTGGAGATTTTTCCGTGAGCAACATTCCCTTGTCCCTTTGCATGCAGTGTGTAACTAAAAGAAGGGAACGACTGGATTTTCACGCACACGGAGGAGCATTGGAAGTCATTTTATAAACTTTAAACTAGCCAAGATGTTTCGCTGGTGCTAAAATGAATCCTGTGTGTGCCTCTCGAGGAGTCTGCTTCTGGCCTTTAATTATTCCCTTGTGCTAATAAAAAGATTTGGAGCCATTGTGGGGAGGTGTCTGTGTCTGTTGGAGCAATATGAGGAATTTTACACCTTACAAAATAAGTTAAAGTAGCAATATGTAAGATTTTCATGTAAAGTCATCCTTTTCCAATACTTTAACAGATAACAGTAGTTCAGCTGAGATATTTTTATTTCAAAATTAGTTTTACAGCCCCTAAATCTTGTTTTTGTTTTCATTTCCATGTTGAGGTTGCAGTACCTCTTTTGGTTAGATTTTTACATATTGCTCCTTTAAGATAGATTCTTTTGCCCACTTTATTCCATAGTGGGGAAATTCAGTGTTGTATCGCATTAACGGTTAGGGATGAGGAGCACACAACACAAGATGGATATCTAGCAAAATAAGGAAGCATATCTGAAAGTGGGAAAAGGAAACGAAAATGTAAATTGGTGGGTGGCACATGTGAATGGCTGTATGTCCAAAAATGGTAAAAAAAATAATATCAAAAAGTATTTCTCATGTTGACAATTGAGAATAAAAGGTACTGTTACACTGTCAAATATGTTCTGTTCTTTAAGTTTTTGACAGTGTAAGAGTTTGCTGTTGTCTAAGTGGCTTAAAAATGTGTTTTTGTTGATAAAGGTGCCGTCTGGAAGTGCCCACAACTCCAAAGTGGTGTAGGTGCAGCTTTGTAAGCAGAGGGGGGTGCCAACAGAACCACTAAACCGTGACCATGTCACTCCCATCCATATGAAGAGGGACAATGGGTTTTTACATGGGTGAGTAGAGGATCCAAAAAGTGTACACTACTGAAGATATGATTGAGGAAAGAGAGGAAAATGTTTCTACTTGTAATAAAAAATAAACAAAATAAAAAGTTTTACTTTTCAGCTTTGCACACAACAGAGTTTACCAATACAGGTCAAATCTGTCATCTGCAAAAGGGGTATTGTGATTGTGTGTGTCCCCCTGTGGGCAGGACGACACAAAAAAGGACTGATTGAAGACTGATCGAGCAAAATGTGTTGTGTTAATGTGAGGAAGACCCCATTCCAATTTCTAAATGAGCCCTTGGCAGAGTATGTGCTCGCCGAGTGCACGGCCTAGTATTTAAAATGCATGACAAAACATTTTTTTTACATTTCTTTCTGATCCAGGATAAGAGTTTTTATTGTTGATACATGCATTTGTGCTATATGTGCTATACTGTCAAAAAGCACTGTTGTTTTCTAACAGAAGAAAAGCAGGAGTGCTATACTACATGGTATTGTATTTAGAGTGACAGTTAACTGGTTTTACTACAATTAAAATATTGTATGTATTTTATACATACAATCTTTCATTAATATGTAATGTTTCCTTATTCCAAAGTATACAAAATATTTAAAAAGTATACCATGAAAATCGCCTTCTTACAAACTAAAAAGACACAAAAATTTAACTTAATCAAATTTTTTTAACAGCCATTATGTAAAACAGCCAGTAACAGTCTTCTATCAGATGTGGTCCAGAAGCATCCATCAGGACATAAACAGGACAAACATGTTGTATCTTACATACTTTACAGCCTTGTGAGTCACTATGTGGTGGTACACCTGTTTTTCGTGAGCGCTCCTATCAGCGCTCTGGCTCGCAGTATTTAAGGACAGCCCTTTTCCCATGCACTCCTGTTTTGCCTCGCCTCTGACGTCGGGACGCTGCTCGCTGGTGGCGTCCAAAGCACCTGTTTGCTTTGGATCCAGCCCCTACACCGGCTTTGTGCCCCAGCGGGCACGCTGATTTCAAACTGCGTTCCGATTGTCCATGATCCCGGCACAGCTGTGGAGTAGGGACAGAGCGTGGCGATTGCGCAACCCCTCCACAGGTGCAGCGCTCTGATCTCTTGGGACACGGGCAGGCACCCTTTACTGCAGACGCAATCCTGTTCTAGTACTGGCTTTGTATGTGCGCGTCTCGGGCCTCTGTGGCTCCTAGTGGCTTGTACGCGGGATCCTTGGAGTGCTGCATCTCTGCGCGGGTCTCCCCTTCTGGAACCTGGAGAAACGCACCACCCTCACTGCTACCACAGACTATAACCACGCGCGCCCTACGGGCCTCAGTGCGGGGTCACGGAGGCGCGTGGGTTCTTCGGAGGCGTTTGGGCCTGGCGGGGGCTGCTGCGGGATCGCTGCTGCTGGTTGGAGCAATGGGCCTCTAGTGTGGCCAACGAATAATAACTGAGTCACATTTTACAGTGAGAGTGGAGATTCCGGCGTCGTTGAATGATCTGTCCTTTAAAAAAAACTGTCAAATAAATTGTGTTTTTGTACTATATTGCCTCCTATTCCTATCAGTCCACGAATCTGTGTGCCCTTTATTATTTCTGTCCTTAACGGGTCCCAGTCCCCGTATACTGGGTGGCGTTGCTAATAATATTCTATTTAATTAGGCTAACTTCCCAAATTCATAGTCTCGACTATTACAAACGTGGCGTTGGCTGGCAGGATGGACTGACGTTGGATAGAGGCATTTTATAAATTTAAGCATTGTTGGTCTTTGTGAATAATTGTGCGTGGTGAATATTTGTATGCATGCAGCAGCTCTGGTGCATTGGGTTTAAAGGGCAATCGCTACAGTGGGAAAGGAAAGTATTATATGTATAGTATTTTTTTTTTCATTTGATGTGACATTTTTTGTGTGCCTAATTTGCATTGCATGAAGTGTTTGTGATTTTGGTTTTCTATATTTTTGCATGTTTCTGATTTAATTATATGCATAGAAGTACTTTATTTTTTTTTTGCTACTGTTTAGCTTGTCTATTTATTCTCCTGCATCATAAGTTGTTCCATTAATGTACATTTATTTATTTACCTCTTATCTGTCAACAGAATTGGAGTTTTGGAAGCAACCAGCAGCAGCAACCCCCTAGAGCATTCATCTTTTTGCAGCCATGGATAACGAGCAGATTAGAGAACTGCAGGAAGCGCTGGCCGAATTGAGGGCCGACAATGAACGCTTGCGACGAGAATGTACCCAGTCTTCCTCTAATTCAGGGGCTGGGTCGTCCACTTTGTCGACTGAAACTGTTGCCCCTCCACATACTAATGTGAGCGCAGACCGCCTCGTGTTTGTTCCACGTGACCGTAGATGCCCAATGTTTCGGGGTAGGAACGGTATAAGCCTAGGCGAGTGGTTGGAGGAGGCAGAAGCGTGTATGAGGGCCAGACATTTGACTGCAGCTGACCGCGCGTTTTTCCTTTTTGACCATTTGGAAGGGGAGGCTCGCGAAGAAATTAAATATCGCCCGGCTGAAGAACGGAGCGACCCAATAAAGATCACTGCTATTCTGCAGGACTTATATGGGTGTGCAGAGTCATATGTAGCACTTCAAGAAGCATTCTTTTCCCGTCGCCAACAGGAGGGTGAGACCCTGTTGGAGTTTTCTCTCGCGCTCATGTCACTAATGGATAAAGTTAAACAGCGTGCCCCGAACGTAATGCCAAATGCAGAGAATCTCTTGCGTGACCAGTTTGTCGAACAGGTCTTAGATGGAGGGTTGCGCCGTGCGCTAAAACAGTACGTACGCGGCCAACCTGAAGCAACATTACGTGACGTCAGGAGTGAGGCTATGCAGTGGGAGCGTGAGGGGTTGCCCGTGAGCATGCGTGGCCGCAGTAATTCCGTCCCCTCCTCTTTTGGAATCCAGTACGCTGTCCAGGGAGGGTATCAGCGTGGTGTCAAACCTCCTCAAGCTACGGAGGTCAGTGAAGTTAAGGAAATGTTGCGGCGTCAACAAGAGCAAATTGATAGATTGTCGCAGAGCATTGCTTGCTTGCAGGGTCCCCAGCCGTTTAACCAGCGTAACTTTAACCGAATGGGCCCCGCGTTTGCTGGCGCTGTCAGCGACCGGGGCACATTGCGAGGGACTGTGATGGGCAACGTGTCCCCCTTCGTTCGCAGCTGCCGATGGACGGGCACCCCCAATCATCCCGGCCGGCGGAAAACTAGCGCCCACCGTGCTGAATGGCCACAGTTCGAGTGGGCCTCCTTCTGGCCCCAACCATGCTTTGCGAAATCTGGAAGATGCACCCAAGTTGATTTCTTCATGTCCGCACATTGACGTTAGTATGAGCGGTGTTTCAGTACCATGTCTGGTGGACACGGGCTCAATGGTCTCTACCATAACGGAGAGTTTCTTCTTAGAGCATTTTGCACCTTGGGGGGAAGACAGACTTAAGGCTTGCCATTGGCTCAAACTTAAGGCAGCGAATGGCTTAGCGATACCTTATATTGGCTATATGGAACTGAATATCGCCTTGTGTGGGAAGCTAATACAGCAGTGTGGCATCTTAGTCGTAAAGGACCCAGTAGGTGAAGCACTCCCAGTGGTACCTGGCGTCTTAGGGATGAATGTCATCCGCAAATGTTACCAGGAGCTGTTCGGGGAACATGGGCTCTCCCTTTTTGGGGCGGAGTCGTGCTCTTACCCCACCACTCTCATGAAGGCCCTGCAGCGGTGTCACAGAGTGCGCCTGCAGGCCCCATTGGACCATCCAGGTAAGGTGCGGGTACGGGGAAAGCAGGCTCACCACGTCCCTGGTGGTTCCATGAAGATCGTGGCAGCAACATGTTCAGAACAGTTTTCAGAGGGAACAGTTTTGTTCGAACCTCCCGAGTATGGTCTACCAGCTGGTTTGCTGTCTTCGCCAGCCTTGGTACAGGTTGTGCGAGGGACTGCTTATATCCCGATTGTGAATGTGGGTACCACTGAAGCGCTTCTTCACCCCCACACTGTCATAGGTACGTTGGATTCTGTTCGGGTCGCCAGTATGCCCACATGCGTTGAGCAGAATTCAACAGTCACAGCACAAAATTCTTCGCAAATTGCATCTGCCGAGGTGGACCAAATTGATGCAGTAGACCTGTCCAGTCTACCCCCGGAGGAGCAAGGTGCTGCGAGGACCCTCCTCCGGAGGTATGTTTCAATTTTCTCCACTTCAAACCAGGACCTAGGATGTACAGATCTGATCACACATGACATTCCTTTGTTGGATGACATCCCTGTCAGACAACGGTATCGCAGGATTCCCCCATCGGAGTTTGAGCTAGTAAAGGACCACATCAACCAGCTTTTAGAGGCTCGTGTCATTCGCGAGAGTTCAAGCCCGTACGCCTCACCAATAGTTCTGGTTCATAAAAAGGATGGTAGCCTTAGGCTTTGTGTGGATTACCGGCAGTTAAATCTGAAAACTCGGAAGGATGCGTTCCCTCTCCCGAGAATAGAGGAGACGTTGGATAGCTTGTCAGGCGCCTGTTGGTTTTCCACCTTAGACTTGGCAAGTGGGTATAACCAGGTGCCGGTCACTGAAGCCGACAGGCCCAAAACTGCGTTCTGCACACCTTTTCGGGCTCTTTGAATGGAATAGAATGCCCTTCGGGCTATGCAACGCGCCCAGCACCTTTCAACGACTCATGCAAAGGATCTTCGGGGAACAGCAGGGTCAGTCCCTGCTCCTTTATCTTGACGACATAGTGGTCTTTTCCACTAACATCCAACAACATCTAGAGAGGCTTGAGGGGGTGTTGAGGCGTTTGCAGCTTGAGGGCTTGAAGGTCCAGCTACGCAAGTGTAGTTTCTTTCGCCGTGAGGTCCGATACTTGGGGCATATTATTTCGGACCAGGGGGTCTCCACTGACCCAGACAAGGTTGAGGCTGTGGCGAATTGGCCAGTACCCACCAATGCCACAGAGATCCGCTCGTTCTTGGGATTCGCGAGCTATTATCGCCGCTTTGTGGAAGACTTTGCCAAAGTAGCAGCGCCACTGCACAGGCGGATGGCAGTCTTATCCGGGAAGTCGCAGAAGAGAAAGCCGGAACCGAACATCGGACCTTGGAGTGAGGAATGTCAGGAGAGTTTTGACTTGATAAAGGCCAAACTGTCGACCGCGCCAGTGTTGGCCTATGCCAACTTTTCATTGCCTTTCATCCTGGAAGTTGACGCAAGCCATAACGGCTTGGGAGCGGTGCTCTCTCAAGAGCAAGGGGGAAAAGTGAGGCCAATTGCTTATGCGAGTCGCGGGTTGAGGCCCACCGAGCGGAACATGAACAACTACAGTTCTATGAAACTTGAACTGTTAGCGCTCAAGTGGGCCATGACAGATAAATTTCGCGAGTATCTGTTGGGCCATAAATGCGTTGTATTTACGGACAACAACCCGTTAAGCTACCTTTCTCATGCAAAGTTAGGCGCAGTAGAACAGCGTTGGGCAGCCCAGCTTGCCTCGTTTGATTTTGAGATTCGTTATAGGTCAGGCAAGAGCAATGGCAATGCGGATGCCCTGTCGCGGCAAAGCTGTGTTGGTGCTGACCAGCTGGCAGTGGTGGTTCCAGGCACCTCTCTGCCCTTTTGCTTGAGAGACCTGGGACAAACCCAAGTGGAGGTTGTCCAGGCCACCATTCAGGCTGCCATTGCTGCTTTCCCTGGACACACCTTATTGGACATTCAGGATTTGCAAAGATCGATTCTGTCACCCAGGAAGTGGCCCGTTTTTGGGAGCTTAACCGTCGCCCCACTTATGAAGAACGTTGCCGGATGTCCCACTATGCTTTGGTGTTGCTCCAGCAGTGGGATCGGTTGGTAAAAAAAGATGGGCTGCTCTACCGGAAGGTCGACCGTCCGGATGGGGGGAAGGGGTTTTGCAGCTTCTCTTGCCGAACAACTTGAGGGAGGAGGTCTTGCATCAAGTTCACCAGCAGCACGGTCATCAGGGTGTGGAACGCACCTTGTCCTTGTTGCGGTCCAGGTGCTATTGGCCTGGAATGGCCAAAGATGTGGCTCAATGGTGTAGGGAGTGTGTCCGCTGCCAGGTCGCAAAAGACACCCGGCCTCCCGCCAGAGCATTGATGGGCCATCTCTTGGCGTCCATGCCCAATGAAATCATTGCTCTTGATTTCACTTTGCTGGAGCCTTCTCAACAAGGTTTTGAGAATGTTTTGATTCTTACAGATGTGTTTAGTAAATACACCCTCGCTATCCCAACTCGAGATCAACGAGCTCAGACTGTTGCTCAAGTTTTGGTTTCGGAGTGGTTCTCGAAGTTTGGTGTTCCAGGACGCATCCATTCTGACCAGGGGCGCTGTTTTGAGAGCCGTGTGATACAGCAGTTGTGCAGTCTCTATGGGGTCGAAAAATCCAGGACCACCCCATACCATCCGGCCGGAAATGGCCAGTGCGAACGGTTCAACCGGACAATGCACAACCTACTTCGCGCCTTGCCAGAGTCCCGTAAGCGGGACTGGTGCTCGTGTTTGCCACAGGTTTTGTATGCTTATAATACTACCCCGCACCAGTCTACCGGAGAGTCTCCTTTCCTCCTGATGTTTGGTCAGGAGCCAAGACTCCCAGTGGATTTCCTTTTGAGCAGAGTCATGGAACCGACAGCCGGAGAACCTTGCGAGTGGATCGCGGAACATCAGACACGGTTGCAACTAGCATTTGATGGGGCAAGGTCCCGCATGCGACAAGCTGCAAACCGTAGGAAGGAGCATCACGACCGGTGGGTGCGAGATGTTCCGCTGGCAGAAGGTCAGCGGGTATTGTTGCGTAACTGGGGGGCAAAGGGCCGTTGCAAGATTAAAGACATGTGGTCTTCCCAACCTTATCTTGTGGTGCGTGTACCACCCCCAGGGGGCGCGGTCTACACGGTTGCTCCAACACATAACCAGACTCTTCTTCGTCAGATCCACCGGTCTTCCATCAAACCGCTATATGGTGGGGTTCCCAGTCCTCCTCCTTCGGGCCCACCGCCACCAGTGGCGCCACGTGCGCCGGAGGAGCTGCCCGAGGGGGATTTGTTCATGGTGGTACCAGGGCCAGCCCCTCGTATCGAGTCTGCCGCCCCAGCCGCCCACTTACCTCCACTTGTGAGGGATGGTCCCGTGGTTCACCCACCCCCACAGGAGTCGATTGCTAGCTTTGTTTTACCGGTCGGGAACCTCGAATTGCGCCGGACGAGGCGTGCTACTGCAGGTCGCCATCCAAATCCCCATCGCTTACCTCGAGCCCCAGTGGCCGACCTGCACTCCGCTGCTTTCATTTAGGGCTAGAGTGGGTTGATCGTCGGGGCGACGATTCAGGGAGGAGGGGCGGAATGTGGTGGTACACCTGTTTTTCGTGAGCGCTCCTATCAGCGCTCTGGCTCGCAGTATTTAAGGACAGCCCTTTTCCCATGCACTCCTGTTTTGCCTCGCCTCTGACGTCGGGACGCTGCTCGCTGGTGGCGTCCAAAGCACCTGTTTGCTTTGGATCCAGCCCCTACACCGGCTTTGTGCCCCAGCGGGCACGCTGATTTCAAACTGCGTTCCGATTGTCCATGATCCCGGCACAGCTGTGGAGTAGGGACAGAGCGTGGCGATTGCGCAACCCCTCCACAGGTGCAGCGCTCTGATCTCTTGGGACACGGGCAGGCACCCTTTACTGCAGACGCAATCCTGTTCTAGTTTAAAATAAATCTGGCTTAATGTATGTGCGCGTCTTGTATGTGCGCGGCCTCTGTGGCTCCTAGTGGCTTGTACCTTGGAGTGCTGCATGGGGTATCCCACTTGGTTTATATTATTCATTCAATTATTCAGCTCTGCGCGGGTCTCCCCTTCTGGAACCTGGAGAAACGCACCACCCTCACTGCTACCACAGACTATAACCACGCGCGCCCTACGGGCCTCAGTGCGGGGTCACGGAGGCGCGTGGGTTCTTCGGAGGCGTTTGGGCCTGGCGGGGGCTGCTGCGGGATCGCTGCTGCTGGTTGGAGCAATGGGCCTCTAGTGTGGCCAACGAATAATAACTGAGTCACATTTTACAGTGAGAGTGGAGATTCCGGCGTCGTTGAATGATCTGTCCTTTAAAAAAAACTGTCAAATAAATTGTGTTTTTGTACTATATTGCCTCCTATTCCTATCAGTCCACGAATCTGTGTGCCCTTTATTATTTCTGTCCTTAACGGGTCCCAGTCCCCGTATACTGGGTGGCGTTGCTAATAATATTCTATTTAATTAGGCTAACTTCCCAAATTCATAGTCTCGACTATTACAACTATTTGTCTCTTTGGGCTGAGAGCTGATTGGCTGTTTGAGGGTGGCCTGCTCTTTTGAACTTTTCTGTCAGAAAAAGCTGATGTAAAGATGTGACAACACATGCAGATGAAAACAGTGACAGAATCAAACTGTTTAAGAGCAGGAACCAGAGGGTTTTATTAGAATAAATCTGGTGTTTCGCCTCAAATGTATCAGCCATAAATTATTGAACGTAATAATTACCATGTGTGGCAATTATTGGGACTGGCCTGGTGTGACTGAAATCCTAACCTGAGTCCTTATGAAAAACACTTTCTTTCATGTCTCTCTTTACAGACAGCAGCTGGACCCCCCGGTTTGCTGACCACTGCACCGTTCTGTCCTCCGCTGTTGCCTTAGTGACTTGTAACCGGACCGTCCCCCCCTCTCCCTTCCCCTCTCCTCTCCAGTGTCACCCGATCCGCCCCGCTGGCCTCACCCGCTCCACGGTCTCAGTTACGGGGGTGAGGCGTGCCGGTCCGGGCCGTGAGCGTCAGGGACAATAGACGCAGGATTCAGGGAGCGCGCTGGGAGGAGGGGGGTCATGGTTTTGGACGATGGCCTCAAAATGAGCACCAGCCTCAGCGACATCAGTACGTGCTCGTAGGGGACAGAGGGGTGGGATACAGCGGCAGGATGCCCGGAGCTCTGCCTCATTTTGTGCGTTTGTTCTTTTCAGATGCGGCCGCCAACGGGGACGCGCAGCAGGCAGCGGTGAGTCCAGGCGCGCGCTTCTCATTCTGGGTTTTATTGTAATGAGAATGTAATAGTAGTTTTATCACTGAGGATATTTGAGCCTAAGAGATGATGAATTATTCTTGCACTAAGGTGTTTATACTTCATTTGCAAGAACAGAAGATTTCCGTTTTAAGAATTTGTCAAGAAGTTGTTTCCCTACAACTTTCAACATGTTTTGATATTGACAGTGCTTTTGAAAGTGTTGGCTCAAGAAGGGGTGAAACTTTACACACATAGCACTGAAGGATTTCTGGCTTTTGGGTAAAGGGCAACTTGTAAGCCTTTCAGATATTTGTTTCAATATTTAAAAGATATTTATTTAAAAACAATATTAACAGTCCATTAACTATTGTAGGGATTCTTATTGTTCATCTGTCCAATGGTGCATCACTCAAAAATAGTATCAAATTTTCTTTTGAGGTTTTAAATGACAAATAACAAAAAGATAAACTAAGATTTGTCTATGTAAATGTTTTGCCTGAAGATAGAATATAAAAATACTGCAGGAGAAGACTTTTTCAGTTGCATGAATGAATCCAATATTTTTGAAAGCATTACCAGATTAAATCACTTCTGTTTGTTGCTGCTGGATATCCCTCAGAAAGATCCAGCTCACACATGTCTTAATCTTTTACACTCGTTATTCACGTTTCACTTTTCTTCAAGAATATCTATATTACTTATTTTCAATTCCAGATTTTTCTTTAATGTAAAATATGTTCACAGCGCTGTATCATCATGGGAAGAATAAATAGTGGCCTTTTTATTCCCCATGTTTTTTTACATTCTGGTCAAAGAACAAAACAAGTCAGGAGTTGGTCGTCTACATGAGAGGAGTTAATTAGTTGTAATATGTCTGACACATTTATTATTCAATTATGGGATGATTTTTGTGCTCTAAAAAATTCATTTTTGGTAGTGAGAAGACTCGCCTCTTCATTGTTACTTTGTAAAAGAAATGGAGATAAAAATCCCTCAGTTACATGCACGGCTAAACAGATCTATATTTAACCTGGATATGAAAACTGCCAGAGTATAGACACCTGCCTCACATTTTCAGAAAGACTGTTCCAGATGCAGGATATGCCGCAGCTCCTGTATAAAGCCTTACATGGCTGTGAGAAAACACATGTTGTTTCCCAGTGTCTGTCTGTGTAGTGGGCCGTGGTGCAGGTCAGGGTTAGTGTTACATGTGAGGTAACAGTGTCTCCACGAAACTCTACAGTTCACTTCAACACCCCCTCATCCACTAAACCCACTGCTCAATCATAGATAAACTTACAACTTCTCTGGAATTGTGAGTCGGCTTAACACAAGGTTTTAGACTTCAACAGTTTAGAGTTGAAGGCTAAAACATTCAATATGTTCATTATGGTAATTGGAGATTTTCGATTGACTTATTATGCTAATGCTAGAGATTTTATTTTGTTTTAATATAAAGTTATTGTTCATTTATCTTGTGCTGTGTGCTCCTCATTCCTACTGTTCTATAACTTGTGATGCAACACTGAAATTTCCCAACTGTGGGACGAATAAAGGATTTCTTCATCGTAATCTTAATAAAAAACAGTGTATGTCCCATGAAATACATACAATTTCTGCGTTGTTATATTGGCTGCAGGGTTCAAATAACTTGAAAAAGTAGCAGTCTGGCAATTACGCTGAGTGAATCAACCATACATTAAAAAAATCTTGGGGGAAAATAAACACTTTTATTTGCTGAGAAGGAAAAAGTACTATAATGCGGTTGCTCATATCAAAACATTATTAGGGTACCATTACTTCAAAACTCATTGATATTGCTATCGGATCAATGCTTAATACATTTCTATATCACCCGGCACCAAAACCTTGCAGACCAGTCTTGGGCAAAGTGCGGCCCGAGAGCCACATACGGCCCAATCCACATTTCTATGCGGCCCCTTGCCCCTTCCCGCTGTTAACCTCATTCTGGTCTGTTGCTTATTGAAATGAATCTAGACTCAATACTACTCAATTAATGCTTGCATTTTGTTCTACCATTTGTGCTACATTTATTCTGATCTCATTCATGAATCCAAAATGTTTTTAGTAATAACAATAGCGGTGATGAAAATAGTTATTGTAGTAATACAAAAGCCCAGTGATATACATATTTGTGAAATTGGGTCCGGCCCTGCATAATAGGCCGATATCCCAATGTGATGTTGTCTGTGGGGTGCCCAGGAGTTTCCAGAGCAGACCATAGAGGTGGTGTCAGTCACAGAGGAGGACCTGCCCACCGTGGAGACCCCCAACATCCTGATCGTCAGCCCCCTGGACAGCTTCGTCACCGAGCCCAACGGTCACCCAGAGAGAGAGCTGCCTGAGGAGAGCCCGCCCACTGCCCCCAGTCCCAGCATGCCCATCACCAAAGTGCAGCCTTTTCTCAACGGTAACTCCAGCCTGCACAGTCCTCCTCATCCCGTGGTTAAAAACTGATATTTGGACACACCAGGTTTTAATTACAAAGTCTAGAGTAATGTGTTAGACTCTCTGTGTAACTTGTTGGCTACAGTATACAAAAATGAAGTCTATTTTTTACTAAAGACAACAAAATAGACAAACACATCAACATTCAACAAGAATACAATTTAAAAAAAACATTAATTTTAGTTGTTTGTAGAATTACCCCTACTCAATTCCATGGAAATATCTATAATTGTGAATTGTCTACCCAAATATGGTTTTAAGTTTCTATTTCCATGGAATCCTTGAAGTGACCTACCACCAAAAAAGCTAAACTACAAACTAACTACATAATATTCATTGGGATTTAAAACAAGGAAGGATAACATGTACTTTAGTATCTCTGTAGGTACATGTGAAAATATATCTAGTATTTGTGCATTTTTTTGTCCATTTGACTTGATATCATTGTTTAAGAACAGTTTGTATAGACTAGGCATGTCCAAACTAAGGCCCGGGGACCAATTGTGGCCCTCTGTGTCATGTCCTTGCTAACCCAAATTAGCCATTGAGATATTAAGTATCATCCAACTTCCTTTTTAACTTCCAAAATCTCACATATGACGCTACTGCAGCTTTAATTTCCTTTCATTAAATTGAGAGCCCCATTAGCTCCTGACTTCTTGCAGGAGCTATTCTCCCTGGGGTCTCCTTCATTTTGAATACAAATGTTTACAATATTACATAACAAAAACAAACAAACAAAATAACGACACACAGACACACACACAAACACACACACACAGACACACACACACACACACACTCAAAAGACAAACCGTGGGGGCCCAAAGTGAAATCAAATAAAACAGCAATAATAGCATTTTCATTATTATTATTATCATCTGTGTTAGCTGTGGTGTGATAGTAAGCTATTATAAACGTCTGTGAAATGTGAATCTTTTTGGACTTATCATTCCTCATTTTAAACCTCAGAACTGAACAGAAGTTTGGACACCCCTTGTATAGACCATATTTCTGTAGTATGTGTGTATCCCCAGAGGACGACCTGAGGAAGACCGTGTGGGAGCGAGTGTGGGAGAACCGTCTGGAGCTGATCTTATGTGTGATTATTGTGGTGGTCGTCATCGTGGCTCTGGGCATCGGTCTGGGAGGTCAGTCTGTGGTCAGTCTGTGGTCAGTCTGTGGTCAGTCTCTGGTCAGTCTGTGGTCAGTCTGTGGTCAGTCTGTGGTCAGTCTGTGGTCACCTTTAAAACTACAGACAAACACCTTGGGTTAGAGCGTGATTGTTTGGTTAACATGTAGCAGTGGATTAAGATGCACATATCTGGGCACATTATTAATTTATTGATTGATTTGATAGGTCTAAACAATCAACATTTGAAACGATAGAACATTTATAGCCAGCGTTTTATTGGAATATTGTCAATTTGACCTTCATAGACATGTATGGGGGCACACTTCTCTCAAATACCAGTAGTTACAAGTATTAACTGATAAGATAAGATGAGTTAAACTTTATTGACCCCAAGATTTGCTGTGGGATACAGTGCTACACAGATCAGCATGAATGAATGAGGACAAGCAAGGAACATTACAGGAAAATACAAAGTCTCTGTTTGGTCCAATTGTCCAAAATAAAATAATAATAATCCTGGATAAAAACTGAAATAGTTCATAGAATTGTGTGTATGTATGTGTTTGTGTGTGTGTGTGTAGTGGGGCTGAGCTGTTCGGGGAAATTCAAGTGTGGAGCCTCCTCCAAATGTATCCAGGCCTCTCTGCAGTGTGACGGCAAAGAGCAGTGTGAGAACGGAGAGGACGAGCTCAGCTGTGGTAAGGCTCATCGGACGGACACACGGAAACACACACACACACACACACACACACACACACAAATACACCTGTCTGTCACGCTCACATCATACCTGTACTTGTGCCTTAAATTCCTTGTGTGTCTGTGTCTCTCTGTGTTTGTGTTTGTCTGTGTGTGTGTCCCTCTCCTGCTCGCCTCATGTCTGTGCTTGTCCCTGTGGTCAGTGCGTCTGAGCGGCCGCAGCTCTGTGGTGCAGGTGCAGAAGGCCGGGCTGTGGATGACCGTGTGTTATGACGACTGGACCTCCTGGATGGGAGAGTCCGCCTGCCGCCAGCTGGGATACAACAGGTACCAGACCAGAGAGACACACAAAGCCTGCACTGGTCCCACACTGGTCCCACTCTGGTCCCACAATGACCTCTGTCTTCCAGTTACGTGGCGTCGTCGTCCTCTGGGGTGAACTCCATCGAGCCGGAGCTGCAGTACAACCTGGTGTCCCTCGATGGATTGTCTGGAGGAGTGTTCAAGCTTCACAACATGAGCGTCACTTTGTGAGTAATTACAAAATATAAATAGTTACTTACGGTCTCTTTTCCCTTAAAACATCATGTTAAAATGGTGCAGTAATCAAACTGAAGCTGTTTGAGAATCATTTTGAGCATAATCAAACGTCTGGACTCTATGTGAAGCAGAGGCCCTGTAATTTTGGTCTGTGAGGACATTATATTTTATTTTATTTTATCTATCCATTGAGATAGATCATCTCTTTTTCGAGGGGGTCCTTTGTTGCAAGGATGGCTGACATGCTCAACAATACAAGACAATATTAGAACATTTTGCAAACAAAGTACAGAAATGCATAATTATACATACATACACACACTGTACATACATAGTTACATAGATACATAGATCCACACACATGCATACATACGCACACACACACACACACACACACACACACACACACGCACACGCACACGCACACGCACACGCACACGCACACGCACACACGCGCACACGCACACGCACACGCACACGCACACGCACACACACACACAAACACACACACCGTTTGTCTCAGATTCAGATTCATTTATTTGCCATTTGTAGTAAAACCACATTGGAAAAACTGTGCAAGACTACCCCGGTGTGCACCAGACGACACACACCAGAGCTCTTGCCACGGCGCCATCTTTACGGCCTTTAACCCTCTGCATATCCACACTTTTACTTCCAAGTCCTACGCTTTCATTCAGGATTTGTTCATGTTTTACTAGTTTTATTAGTGAAGACAATCTCCACTCAAGAAAATCCAACCCCACGGTCCACTCATACTGTCGATGGTTTAACTGCTGTTCTCTGGAGGCAGCTCTGAAAGGCAGATTATGACCCAAAATTGTGGGTTTTGACTATTTCCCTTCCTGAGCGCAGGCATGTTTCACCAATGTGGACATTTAGGGAGCTACAATACAATATAATATACTACAAGAAGTCCAGACAGAACATGAAACAACATTATAAAATGAAAATGTAAAGGGAAAAACATCAATTTCAACGTCAATCAAATTTAAAACAGATCCTTTATTCGTCCCACTGTGGGGAAATTTCAGTATTGAAGAAGAGTGAACGATAACTCTATACTAAAATAAAACTAAATCTCCAACTTTAGCATGATAAAAAAAAAGCGAGTCTAAAATCCTGTATATATTGAAGTGCAAGACATAGATAGTTTGTATGTATACATCTGGGGCGACAGTAGCTCAATAGAGAGCATCAGCCTTTGGGCCTGAAGGTCGTAGGTTTGAATCCACCACAAGACCTACTTCACGACTCCCACTGATGACTGCTGTCGTTGTGTCCTTGGGCAAGACACTTAACCCCACTTTGCCCGAAGCCCCCGCTGAAAGATCTCAGCTCCTGTGGACTCACCACCTGCAGGAGGATCAGTGAGGGGCTGGTGCTCTGTGTACTGGGGTCAGCTCTGACTGCCACCCCCCCGACCCAGAAATGGATTAAGGGGAAGAAAATGGATGGATGGATGGATGTATACATCTGTACACAATTCCCAAATAAAGAATGATTTTACTGCATGTTTTGTATAACATCTTGGAGATTCTGATTTGAGATATTTGTGTCATCCCAGTAAAAGTCAGTGCACCTCTGGGAAAGTGGCCACGCTCAAATGTTTAGGTGAGAGGAGTGCTGTGTATCTGCGTCACAACTGCATGTGTGTGTCGTTATCTGTTTCTACACAAACCATCAATTGTGTGAAAAAGAGACTGGTTTGGGGTGAGCTGCCGTGATCTTGTACTGACCCTTGAAAGACCTGTGTGTGTGTGTGTGTGTGTGTGTGTGTGTGTGTAGACTGTGGTCAGCGGCCCCAGTTCAGGTCCAGCCCCAGCTCCAGGATCGTGGGAGGCAACAGTTCCAAAGCAGGGCAGTTCCCGTGGCAGGTCAGCCTCCAGAACAAGGGGGAGCACCTGTGTGGAGGCTCCATCATCACCTCCCAGTGGGTCCTGACGGCGGCTCACTGCGTCTATGGGTAAGTGTCCTCTCAAATCATGTGTGTGTTGAAAAAGAGAAGCAGCAGTAGGACAGACAGACAGAAACTGGACTCCATCTACTGGTGCAAATGGGAAGTACAGCTCCCAATGCAAGCCATTGAAACATGTTGGGTATGGATTCAAATCTCAATACCTAGAGATCAACAGATGCAGACTAGCCGATGGCAGATCTAAAAGGAAAACTTTTATATTTTTACGGGGTATGTGCTAATGCTAAAGCGCTAGTCAGAAATCAGGACATTTTTCCAGGCTATTTCATATGCCTTTTGTGTATTGATGGAACTAGGTTTATTTGAGCTTAGAGGTCCAAGTTTGTATAACTCTTTTGCATCTGTGTTTTTTTAATTTTTTTATATTTGTTGTACTTTCTTTTTCACATTTCACACAAAAGTTTAAAATGTTGTGTTTTTTTTTCCCTGAGAAAAACCACAAAACAATATTTCAAAAACCTCCCTCTACTAAATTGTGCCAGTTTAGCTATAAGTTAGTATAAACACATGTATAAAAAAAAAAACTAAACAATACAATTATATTTAATGTACACTGTTCACTTTTTAAACCTGTTTGAACATTTCCTGTGAGTTCCAAATGTGACATAAATTTTAATAAATAAATTCTTTTGTGAGATCAATAGTTCATCTTAAAAAAAAAATACTATTTGCACGTCTTTTAAGCAGATAGAAAGTAGGTTCTCTGTGAGACATAGATGAAACCCTGGTGATCTCCCATATTTTCTTGTCCGTATTATAACGTACTATAACGGATAACGGTTGCGATTTCCTGTTATAGTCGTAGTCTGTGGAAGGCTCATGTGTCTGTGTGGTAAAAGATAGGATTTCTCACCTACATTCAGGCCTCTTCTAACAGTCACTGACGGCTCAGGTTCCTCTGGGATTCTGCTCCCGACAATCACGTCATCACCATTCCTTAGAATTCCTTTTAGCAGATTAGTTTTACAACAGACATGCAGAATGATAGCGTCCAGATTACAAAGACTGAGCTTGAGTTTGTAAACGGTGGGTCCTTCTTTTTACAAGTCAAAGGTACGAGTCAAGGCCTTGTCCAAACAAATCCATAAAAATGTATTGATTGAAATGTAATGATATTTAGTTTAGAATTTATTTGCCATTTGCAGTAAAACCACATTGGGAAAACTGTGCAAGACTACCCCAGTGTACACCAGGCACACACCAGAGCTCTTGTCACGGTGCCATGTGGAGTTTGCCCCATGTTTGAAATTTTGTATTTGATTTTTTGGGAGAAATAGTGAGCTGTGTGTTGATCAAGAGGGGGTGACGCCTTATGGAAACAGGCCGATATAATCAATGTTCTACCTCCATCCATCCATCCATTTTCTTCCGCTTTATCCGTTGCCGGGTCGCGGGGGCAGCAGTCTAAGCAGAGACGCCCAGACTTCCCTATCCACACACACCTCCTCCAGCTCGTCCGGGGGGACCCCAAGGCGTTCCCAAGCCAGCTGAGAGACATAGTCTCTCCAGCGTGTCCTGGGTCTTCCCCGGGGCCTCCTCCCGGTGGGACGTGCCCGGAACACCTCCCCAGGGAGGCGTCCAGGAGGCATCCTGAACAGATGCCCGAGCCACCTCAACTGGTTCCTCTCGACGTGGAGAAGCAGCGGCTCTACTCCGAGCTCCTACCGTGTGACTGAGCTCCTCACCCTATCTCTAAGGGAGCGCCCAGCCACTCTGCGGAGGAAGCTCATTTCGACCGCTTGTATCCGCGATCTCGTTCTTTCGGTCATTACCCAAAGCTCATGACCATAGGTGAGGGAGGGAACGAAGATTGACCGGTAAATCGAGAGCTTCGCCTTTCGGCTCAGCTCCCTCTTTACCACAACGGTCCGATACAGAGACCGCATCACTGCGCACGCTGCACCGATCCGCCTGTCAATCTCACGCTCCATTCTTCCCTCACTCGTGAACAAGACCCCGAGATACTTGAACTCCTCCACTTGAGGAAGGACCTCTCCACCCACCTGCAGAGGGCAAGGCACCTTTTTCCGGTCGAGCACCATGGCCTCGGATTTGGAGGTGCTGATTCTCATCCCAGCCGCTTCGCACTCGGCTGCAAACCGTCCCAGTGCATGCTGCAGGTCCTGGTTCGTTGGAGCCAACAGGACGACATCATCCGCAAAAAGTAGAGATGAAATCCTGTGGTTCCCGAACCGGACCCCCTCCGGCCCCTGGCTGCGCCTAGAAATTCTGTCCATAAATACAGTGAACAGAACCGGTGACAAAGGGCAGCCTTGGCGGAGGCCAACATGCACCGGGAACAGGTCTGACTTACTGCCGGCAATGCGAACACAGCTCTGGCTCCGGTCATACAGGAACCAGACGGCCCTCAGCAGAGGACCCCGGACCCCGTACTCCCGGAGGACCCCCCAAAGGACACCCCGGGGAACACGGTCGAACGCCTTCTCCAAATCCACAAAGCACATGTGGACAGGTTGGGCGAACTCCCATGAACCCTCGAGTATCCGATGGAGAGTATAGAGCTGGTCCAGTGTTCCGCGACCGGGACGAAAACCACACTGCTCCTCTTGAATCCGAGATTCGACCATCGGGCGTAGCCTCCTCTCCAGTACCTTGGAGTAGACCTTACCGGGGAGGCTGAGGAGTGTGATCCCACGATAATTGGAACACACCCTCCGGTCCCCCTTCTTGTAGAGAGGGACCACCACCCCGGTCTGCCACTCCATTGGCACCGCCCCCGTTCGCCACGCGATGTTGCAGAGACGTGTCAGCCAAGACAGTCCTACAACATCCAGAGACTTTAGATAGTCAGGACGGATCTCATCCACTCCCGGCGCCTTGCCACCATGGAGGCTGCCAACCACCTTGGTGACCTCGGCCAGGGAGATGGAAGTGTCCGCCCCAACATCCTCAGCCTCTGCCTCCTGAACGGAGGACGTGACGGGGGGATTGAGGAGAACCTCGAAGTATTCCTTCCACCGCCCGACAATATCCTCAGTCGAGGTCAGCAGCCCTCCACCCGCACCATACACGGTGTTGGCAAAGAACTGCTTCCCCCTCCTGAGGCGCCGGACGGTTTGCCAGAACCTCTTCGAGGCCGACCGATAGTCATGCTCCATGGACTCTCCGAACTCCTCCCAGTCCCGGGTTTTTGCCTCTGCAACAGCCCGGGCCGCGGCACATTTGGCCTGCCGGTACTGGACAGCTGCCTCAGGAGTCCCACGAACCATCATTGCTCGATAGGACTCCTTCTTCAGCCTGACGGCATCCCTTACTGCCGGTGTCCACCACCGGGTTCGGGGATTGCCGCCGGGACCAGCACCAGAGACCTTGCGACCACAGCTACGAGCCGCCGCATTGGCGATAGAGGAAGAGAACATGGTCCACTCGGACTCGATGTCCCCCTCCTCCGCCGGGACCTGGGAGAAGCTCTCCCGGAGGTGTGAGTTGAAAGTCCGTCTGACAGGGGGCTCACCAAGACGTTCCCAGCAAACCCTCACTATACTCTTGGGTCTGCCAGGTCTGACCGGCTTCTTCCCCTGCCAGCGGATCCAACTCACGACCAGGTGATGATCGGTTGACAGCTCCGCCCCTCTCTTTCTGTTCTACCTTTTGGTTAAAAAAAAAAAAACTGAATGCAAAAGGCGGTACTTAAATTGCAGAAATAGTAAACTACAAATCCTCACTGTTGTCTTGTTTTGATGTCATAGAGGTGCAATGACATCATCCTATCACATGACTGAGACAGACTCTTTTAGACAGAAGGGGCGGAGTAACATGTTTATACCTAAAGTTCCTGATATCTACATACAGTATATATGGATGGATCTAAAAACAACTCTTGTTTTTGGTCTTACAAGAGGCAGCATGTCAGTATCAAATGTAAATGTATCGTGATATGATCGTTCTGAATGAATATTGCTAGATTCTTGAGTGGTAGGAAGAAAGATTCAGTTTTTTTTAAACATTTGCAGTAAAACCACATTGGAATAACTGTGCAAGACTACCTGAGACGGCTCTTCAGAGACAAGTGGATGCATTTATGGATCTACAATAAGCGGCTGAATGTGTCTGTGCAGTTTTGCCATCCCGGCGGAGTGGGGCGTGTACGTGGGCATCACGGAGCTGCCGGGGTTCGGGTCTCAGGCTCTGGAGGTGGAGAGGATCGTCTACCACGCTCGCTACAGGGGCCGGCTGGACTACGACATCGCCCTCATCAAGCTCCGCAATCCGCTGCCCTTCAATGGTGATACTACACACCGGTCTGGTTTACCCAAGACCTTAACTCATTGACTGCCAGCCGCTTTTGCTGATTTCACTGATTTTCAAGACCCACAGAATATTGTGTGCTCTGACGAATTATGAAACCAGATTCTGAAAGACTGGACTGGTCTACTTTCATCAGCAAAAATAAGTTGGTTTCTAGCTAGTTTTGTTCTCCAGTAATCTCCAGTCGAATTGAAGGAGGTTCGACAGAAGTCTCAAATAAATACGTCAATGGCAGTCGATCGGTTAACACTAGTGAGGATTAAAATGTTGGTTTAAAATACCCAATAATCCATGTAATACAAAAATAGTACGTTGAATGCTTTGCTTTGTCCAGGATTGGTACAGCCCATCTGCCTGCCCAACCACGGGGAGCTGTATGAGGCGGGGACCCTGTGCTGGATCTCAGGCTGGGGGGCCACCGAGAACGGAGGTGAGTTTGAACATTTACTCTTTCCATCTTCAGCACTTTACGATTAACCTGTAGTTCAGGTAGGTCAAACTCAGGCCCGTGGGCCAAATCCGGCCTGTGAGACCATTTTCAGTGGCCCCTGAAACCATTATTATTACAGTAACCTGCTAAATTGTTGATAATGGGATACTATGGCATGTTATACTTCATTTTTAAACTTATTTTGTCAGGAAAACAACCGTATAATTAAATCTGTAAAGTTCTCCATTGTGAGATCAATAAAGTTTATCTTATCTGTTCTAAAGTGTTAACTGACATGTAATTAGAAGTTCATTTAGCTAGGTTTTTTATATTTCACTGTGAATCTTATTTGTATTTTTTTATCTTTGAATGATACTTTGCCCAGTTGTGATTGAATCCAAACCTACTAGAAAATCTCACGTAAAAAAATATTAATTTGTCAAAATACAAACAAATAATGATAATTCAATAAAACCACCTTTTGCAGTATTCTTTTGGGCCCAACCTGCACTTATGTTTTTAACCTTGGCCCCTGATCACGAAGAGTTTGACATCTCTGCTTGAGTTTGATGGGTGTTGTTTGTTGCAGGAGAGTCGAGCGTGATGCTGCGCTCTGCCATGGTGCCCCTCATCTCCACCAAAGACTGCACTCAGAAAGACGTGTACCCGGGGATGATCACCGCGGGCATGGTGTGTGCGGGATACCTGGAGGGAGGGGTGGACTCCTGCCAGGTAACACTGCTCTTTATCATCATCATCATCGTCAACTTTTATTACAGAGTCCTTACAGAAAACATGTGACCTAATAATGACCAAATAAATAAGTTACTATTACTAATACTACTTCAATCAGGCGATCTCAGCAGTCTGTCTGATTTGATCCTGGAGTAGGGTACTGGACAATGCTAACCTGCAGGTTTTGGCTCCGATTGACTTAAAGGAGCTATACCTGTTTCTCTGCAAGGTTTGAATGTTTAGCACCACCCCCAACTCGCTCACAGGCTTCTCATTTCCCCCTACGCTCTCATCCCACGGAGTCATCAAGTTTTATTTGCGATCTATCTGGAAACATTTGCATGAGCGCAACTTCTTGTAAGCTGTACAACAATCACTGATGAAATGGTACAAAAGCAACGCACTGCTAACAAAATATATAACTGAAAGATTATCTCTAGTTTCACGTCCAAATGTAGTTTAAGCATAGATAGTCCGAGGCGGTCCCGCAGGTCTCTCCCTTAGACTGTAAGTCTGTCCAGAGGATACAATGTAATCTACAGCTATGTTCACCCGGGCTTGATTTCTTCTTTAATCATGTTTTCGATTTAGTTCCCTCTTCTCTTCCTCACGGTTGCATCGTTTGGCCTTTATTGTATTTTTTTATTTTTTTATTAAGTGATACAAAGACATACAAAAGTGACACATAGACATACAAAATTGGCTTTTTTGCTGTGTATGCAGTTACAGCCAGAGGAGGTACAGACACTTTCTGCCTCCATTCTGCTCTTGTTTACCAACGCTGTAGAGGCTAGAGGACGCAGCCTCGTTCTGTGATTGGAGGAGAGCTCTCTACTCAGCACTTTTTACGGCCTGAATTCATACACAAGCTGAATCAATGAGCTCAAGTTGACAGTTAAATTACGGATTATAAAACAACTTGTATCTAGTAAAAAGCATTTTTATTAACTCATAAAAAAAAAATCTGTTATAGCTTCGTTAAATTGAAAAGTGAACTCCTTTATCTCAGTAACCGTTTGTCTCACACTCATCATTTTGGGTTTAGCGCTGGGTTTAGCACTCTGATGATTCTATTTTGATATCATCCTTGTGAATCTAAAAATGAGCCTTAAGGAGTGACAAATAAGCAAATAAGCGTGTTGCTGACCATGTCAGCAACACGTTAGTTTGCATCTGCCCCTGCTACGACGCGTAGGCAACCTCATCGTAACAAAGGCCCAAACTACACTTGGATTGAAACAAAAGTCCATATCTAAGCCAAGGAGTTCAAACTTTTTACATCAGATTCAGATTCAGTTTATTTGCCATTTGCAGTAAAAAAAAACCACATTGGAATACATTAGCAAAAAGTCTCCAGTGTGCACAGACAAATACAGACATAAAACAACATTAAAAGACAAAAATAAAACAAATAAAACAGTAAACAAATGTCACTGTGAAATCGATCGACTAAAAGTTTCAAAACAAGTGCAAATCATTAAAGTGCTCTGTTCACACTGATAACAGCTTGTGGATAAAAACTGTTAGCGTAACGAGATGTCCTGCATCTCAGAGAGCGATATCTTCTGCCAGAGGGAAGAAGCTGGAACATGGCTTTCCCAGGGTGGCCAGAAGAGTCATTAACAATCCTAAGAGCTTTGTTTAAAAGTCTGGATTTATAAAGAACCTCCAGAACAGGAAGCCCACAGTCCTCTTTGCAGAGCGGAGCACCTTGTTTAAAGCTCTCTTTTCTTTATCTGTGATGTTTCCAAACCACACAGACACAGAACCAACAAGTAAACTCTCAATGGTGCAGCGATAAAAGTTAAGCAGAATCTTAGAGTTAGTGGTAAATTCTCTAAGTTTACGCAGAAAGTAGAGACGCTGACGAGCTTTCTTAACGACTCGGTCAGTGTTTTTAACCCATTTCAGGTCGTTAGACAGAGTTAAACCCAGAAACTTGCACTCCTCTGCACTCGTGAGTTGTCGATTATGACAGGCAAATGAGAACTGTTGCGACTGAAGTCGTAGACCAGTTCACATGTTTTCGATGCGTTCAACTGGAGGTTGTTAGTTTTACTCCACTGAACCACATTTTGTATCTCTGCTCTATAAGAGGATTCATCATGCAACATCAAGTGACCAAGCAGAGAGCCAATCAGGACATATAAAAATCTGTCAAGTTATAATTTCAGACATAGCAACCTGGACATTAATCAAGTTTAACAATGCCAGAAGACAAACTAATACAATTAGGATTGACCCTGTAAAAACAAGAAATGATGCGGTGACAATGGGGCCAAGAAAAAAATGCTACGAGGGCCATTATTTTCCCAGGGGCTATAGTTTGGACTGGACCACTCCTATTGCATTTGTGTGTGCGTGTTACCAGGGCGACAGTGGTGGTCCTCTGGCCTGTGAGGACTCGTCTCTCTGGAAGCTGGTGGGGGCGACCAGCTGGGGGGTGGGCTGTGCGGACCAGAACAGACCAGGAGTGTACACGCGCATCACAGAGAGCCTGAGCTGGGTCCGACAGGAGATGGCAGTAAGTGCACTGTAATACGTATACGTAATATAACGTAGTAACACTCATCATTTGAGACGTGACTTTAGATGCAGATTGTTTTTTTTTTTTGTTATGGTTTTTGAGTGTGTGTGTGGGGTTCATTAATTCATACATTCAACAAAGTGGCCCCGTAGAGGCCCTAACACAAGAAGTCTAAACTAAAAATGTTGCTTCTCTAAATTCTCTAAACCATAACACTTGAACCAGTGACCAGAGGTGGCGTTGGATTCCTAAGTAATATGAAGATTTAGTTTGTCAAGTCTGGTAAAATGTATTTAAACTATTAACTTAAGTAAAAGTATACAAGTAGTTTAAGTCAAAAGTAAAATGCAGTTCTGTTAAATAAATTGTCCGTCAATTATTCAACATTTTAAGAACTTCATTAGAAACAAACAAAGACATTACACCGTTGTGTCAATTGGTGAATATGAAAATGTATACAAAAACATGTAGAACTGGTCGAATGGTAATCTGAACCTAGCAGTGTAGCTAACCACAATGAATCAATTCACTTAGAAGCATAGCTAACCACTTCCACCCTGTTTTCATGTTGTGGTGTCATAGTATTTTAAAATGAAGATATTTGGGTGTAAAAGTTAAAAGTTGTCAGACAAGACCCAAAATATATTGTTCTGCAAATTATTAATCAATAAGTTGATCTAGTAACTATGGTGACATGTCTACCACAAATCCTTCACATATTTTATAAAAAGTATATGTAACTTTCTTAGTATAAGGTTTGCTTGAAACAGTACAACCTGTGTATGAGTTATTTTTGTATCTGCATTAACTTAGATGTGTGGTGCCATTTGTTTGTGAGTTTAACTTTTAAAACCAAAACCAGCGAAATTTCACCCAACAAAATGCCTACCAAAATGAGGGCAATTGAAAACCATAAATATAACTTGTGGAAATCATGTTCATTCTATTTCTATAATATAATAAGATACAAGGACAACTAAACCCCAATCAACTTTTTTTGCATACATATTTTATAGTGCTCTCTACATATCGTATTTTAGAGAAAAATAGATAAAATCTCACTTTTGAGCCTAAACCCCTCTGTGTGGCGCCCTTTCTATCTTTTTGGAGGCATTACATTTGAATTTGGTGCTTGGCCTCTCCATTGTCTCTTGTGATGGTTGATCTCAGTTTGTATGTGTGAGGTGTGTCTCTTAGCGCCAGTGGTATAAACCTTAGACCGCCCCAGTATCGAGTTGGAGTATTTTGGTGACATGTAGTGGATTAAAATTAAATTACATCCATTGACAGCCACTACTGCTGAGATAATTGTGTGTAAACAAAAGTGGAATGAGACTTTCTGGTTTGTAAACTATGGCTTTAAGCAGCAATGACAACTGTTTCTTTTGTGTGTGACAAGCGAGCTGTCAATCACAGCTCAGACCACACCCAACTCTAAGACCCCCAATTGATCTTTAACTATTTAATCTTTATATGAAAGACTAAATGACTTTAACATGTTAAGCCACTATCTGGGGACACACAGAATCTGTAGATTTTTTAAATTAAACTATTATATACTGAACACACTCCTCTACTGTTCTTTTTCAGAGAGACGAAACACTGGGCCAGACAGTCACCGCCAAACCAAGAACTGCTGAACTGTGCCTAAATCTGACTTTTACCGACAAGGAATGAGACCGAAGGAGCTGCGCCTAAGTTTAGGCATCATTTATTCCAAAATAGAAAGCTCTAAGGCAAAAGAAAAGTGAACAACTGTTATTTTTTTAAGCAAAAGACAAGTGTGGATTTGAGTGACAAGTCAGTAATACGCCATATCCACCATTCAAGTCAACTTTACAGGAGATAGACTTCCATTCACCACTGGGGGGCGCTGTGTGTGAAGTCAAAGTCAAGTCGCACAGTCAGTGATGGCATCTGTTGGAAGAAAACGTAACGGTCCAGTGACGGTGCGTGGATTGTGCGGCTGGACGGCGGGGTCCGTGAGCGTCGCCTACTGTCCAGAGAAAGAAAACAAGAGCCGGTGGCCAAACACACGACGTGGAAGTAACAATTCACATGAAAACAAGTCGGCCCAGGCCACAGAACAGAGATTTTGTGCGATAATCGGGTTGTAGTGATTTGCAGGAATAAGCCACAAGAAAAAAACCTTTTCTTTAGGTTAGGGTTTGAGTGTGAACAAGAAAGCTTTGAATTCAAAATGGTCATTATTTGAATACATATTGTTATTCACCAGTAAGTAAACAATGAAAATACAACATTAAGGTTTTTTTTTTATAAAAGTGAAGGCTTTCAGTGTCCGTACATTGCATTCCAGTAGCATCAGCTCAGTAGGACCAGAACATGAAAGATAGTAGCAATATTAGCGATACAGAGCACACAAGTGTCAAATATAAAGTTGAGCCAAATGATCATACCACCTAAGGAGATCAGGTTAGGTAAGGATCTAATTTAAATAGGTTCTTGTAGCTTGCCTCCTGCAGATGACCCGACTCGCACCAAACTCAGCTGTTCTGACCTGAGCCAGATAGTGTCTTTGACCAATTCACCTTTCTTTGTGCTTTTTTTACTGGCAACATTTTCTATAAAACAAACCATAAAGATAAGGCCTTGGATTAGAGGCGAAGATTAAAACCAATTTAAATAGTAATTCTCATTAGCATCAAATTGCAGTTTTAGAAAACATCACAAACCCTGTAAAACAGGGTCATTAGTTTTAATTATGAATCTGTACATAAATATTCCATACAAAACAGAACACAAAATGAAACACTAGTTATGTTGGTATATAAAAATAAGCATCTCTCCACTGTTCTGGGTGGAGTCAGTCATAGGAGTGTGCACATCTACTCAAACACAAGCATGCAAAAGTGAAGACAAACCACTTTAAGTGTTGGCATCCAAACGAGAGGTGCAGGCGGCGGACGGCAGCGACCAGAGCCGGCCGAGGAGCGCGTTCTCAACACCACTCCTGCTGCTTCTTTTCAGCTTAAATATACAAAAAGTGCACTCTTCTACATCAACTAAATAGTTAAAAAAAGGCTTCTTTCTGAAATGAAAGGTGATGTCAGAGACTTCCTTTGTGCTCTGTAACCCACTGCTGAGACCAGAGTCCAGTGCTCGCTCTGTCGGACAAGTTCTGATCACACAACCTCAGTACAATACAGCCACATGATTACAGGACATCTCCAATACCTCATTTTAGGTAATCAACGTAAGAGGGTGTGCTCCCATTGTACTGGAATATATCTTGGTCAAATTGAATGTCCTCAAGATAAAAACTACACTGTGCCATTACCAATGGCATTTTTGTTTCCAATTGTGCGCCACAGTAGAGTTTGAACTCCTCACACCTGTGTGAAATCTGAACAGACTAAAGCTGGAGCTGACCTACAGAACTGACATTAGCACGGTTCTGCGAGTGCACAGCTGACAGGTGTAAGACTGCTCGTAAAGCAGCAAGGTTTCAAATGATTCTCTAAGCTGTGATAGTGGCCACAGACCAGGCCATGGCTTTGATCGTTTGGACTGACCACTTAGGAGTGAAGGTGAAATGTCCCCAGTGCCAGCTCCACTTGTGCTCCGCATGTTCAGGAGGGAGCACGTCATGTGATCTGTGGTCGGCTCTGAACAGGGTCTGTACAGGACTGGACAGGTCTACTGCAGAGGGTCCTGGTCCAGGCCCAGCCCGGACATGTCATCATCATCTTCTTCACTGTCCCCCGACTCGTCCTCACTGTGTCCCCCCAGCATCACCTCCCTCACAGCCAGCGTGGCTCCGTCTGACGTCAGGCTCTGGAGGCCCTCCATGCTCATGGTCACCATGGTGCCTGCGCAGACAACATACACTTTAGTACAACACAGTCTCTAACTGACACTTGTTCCACTGGACTGTAGCTAAAGAACTGATGAACGGTTTGAGACGGTCTGGTTACATCTGTAAAGACACTGTCACAGAGACCATTTACATTCTAATATTTGTAAGTGTATTTAAAATAAATATTTATTTACTATCACTGTCTTTTGCTGGGTACACAACATACTTTCAGGTGAAGATGTGTGTATGTGACCTCTGTTACCGCCAAAGTTCCACACTAGTGCAGGTCAGAACTACATTGGAGCTTATATTTACACACACACACATACATGTATTGTACACACACACATACCGGTCTGTCACGCACCTCTGTCTCGCAGCCCAAAGAATCCTTGCAAATACGCGGCCCCAGTCAAACACATGGACCATGTTTGTGCTGCTGGTCCTTGTCATTAGATCAGATCCACACACATCACTTTTAAACTTTAGCGGAGACCTGCGAGACGCGGCGTGTAACTCGCTGCCCTGACCATGTGAACAAGCAGTCTTTTGCTTAAAAATGCTTTAACCCGCAGCACAGTATGGGAAGATTAAAAAAGCAGTTCTCTGTGCGCAAAGGTGCCGAAGCTGTTGCGGGTTTTGGCGCCGCTGTCTCAGCTCTGATCTAGTAGAACGCATAGATAAACTTATGAAAAGTACGCGGCTCGAAATGGCTGCTATTTCAAAGAACGTGGAAAATTTTAAACTACGTGGTTAACCGGTTTCAACCGGTTAATGAGGCTCGGTGGTCGGTCATGAAAATGCATAGTTTTTTACATCCCTAGTTTATACGTGTGCATACCGTCTGGCATGGTGACCTGCTGCGTGGGCCCTCCTGCAATGGAGTCAGGCCAGAAGCGCTGCAGCGGCCTGTTCTGAGGGGTCTTCTTCTTGGTTTTGGGCGTCTCAGAAGAGCTGGCGTCCAGCATGGGCTGCAGGATCCGCCTGCGAGCGTTGATAAACCTGCGACACACAGACGCTCAGTCCTTACGCCGCAGAGAAGAAGTGTGTCAACACTCACCAGTTGTTGACCTGCAGCAGTGTCAGGTTGGTCTGAGTGGCGATCTGCTTCTTCTCATCTTCTGTGGGGTACGGGTGCTGCACACACGGCTCAGTCAGCACAAGGACAAAGACAGAGGAAGAAGAAGAGGAACACTTACTCCGATGTGCTGGAAGAGCCACGAGCGCATGACGTTGGTGGCGTGTTTGGGCAGGACGCCGCGCTTGTTCTTTGAGGAGCTGTCGTCGTGATTGAACAGGTTCATGTCCTGGTGAAACTGCAGCTGGAGCTATAAAAACAAACACTTTTCATTCATTCTCCTACAGCTCAGCGCCCACATTCCCCTGTGCAATAACAAGTGTAACGTTAATGCTACAACTTCCATGGCCCCAATCTGATATTTAAGGGTACACTCATCCCTACCCGGTGTAGTCCTCATAATCTACATGGAATTACTTAAATACTTGACATTAGTAAGTACCTGATTGTTTTGGACGCGGATAGTTCCAGGGGACAGGGCTTGTGTGACCACCTGTCCCTGGGGAGTGACCACTGTGACGGGCTGGTACACTGTGCCTCCTGTACACAAACGCGTGGAGGACATCACACTCCGTTTCACTGCCTAATGTAGAGCAGGAGCAGAGCACATACCTGCCACCACCTGAGTGGGGTTGACTGCTGTGACCGTGACGTTGCCTTGTTGCAGAGCTGAGGCTGGGACCATGATCTGGCCCTGCGGACTGAGGGCCCCCAGAGAGTTGGACGTCTGCAAGAGAATGCAGAGGAATATATTGACATCAAGAGTCTATCTTTTCCGTTTTGTAAATATGACTATTTCTTAAATACCATCAGAGACAATGAGTTGATGGTAAATGACCACATACCGGGGTCTTGATGGGGGAGAAGCCCTGGGCCTGTGTGGGCACAGGAGAGTAGGGGCTGCCTGGCTCTCCGCTCAACAGTGTCTCACTGTTCATCTTGGTCTTCAAACAGGCGATGTAGCGGCTGCAGAAGTCCTTACACAGATCACTGACCTTCTCCAGCTCCAGCAGGTGGATCCTCAGCACCTGGATGGCCTTCACCATCTGCACAGGAGCACACCATAGATCAGAAGGATGGAAGGTTCTTACTGCCTCTTTCACATGTCGGGGACTTGTATTTAAAAAAGAACAAATGACAGCACAGGGGATGAGTACCGGTACATTCATCTCTTGTCGTGTACAGGAAACTAGTTTAGTCAGAGGTGTTTGTAATGTCACATCAGATTTCAATGAATTCACTTCCACAGCTTCCCCTCACCTTCACTGCAGGTGCTCATGACAATCATAAACCAGTGCCAATACAGCCTCTGATTGCCTGAGTTTCTGAGACATGTGTTTTCAATATTTACCCTCTTAGGTTGATAAATCTTAAACCAATTTGCATGAAACTAAAAAAGGTCTCCACGATCCATCTTTGGTAATTGACATTCCTGCTTCTGGAAATTAATCTCTGAGACTCATGTTATTGTTTACTGGGCTGTAAACATCTTTAATAAAACAAAAGCACAGGGATGTTTCATGTACATTACATACAACTAAAGTAATCCCAAAGTACTTTGAGCTCGAGGCCCTAAATGTAATTAGTTGAATCTTTTTAGGAAGTAATTAGTAATGTGTAACTTTCCAACACGACTTGTCTTACTTCATCAATTATTAGTATTAGTCATCTTTGTGAGTGTAGAAAGCAGAGACTTGAGTAATGTGGTCAAGTGAACTCAGCTGATGCTTTCAGAGTCCAGTGTGAAATGCCTCACGCAGACCACACTCACCAGGCTGTCCAGCTCAGGGTCCTCGCTGAAGAAGGGCTTGCCCTCCTTCTCCTGGTTCCTCACAAAGTTCTCAATGTCCACGTCGAAACTGGCAGACGTGATGCAGTCCGAGCTCATGGTGGACTGCTCACACTTCTCAAAGAGCAGAGCCAGCAGCGGGAACAGCGGGTGTCTGCAGCAACAAGCAAACAAAGTCACGTTGTGTAGTGTAATATGTGGTGAACTCTGCTATTCATTTAAATATAATAAGTATAAGTTTCTAATACTTTGGAACTAGGATTAAATGTTTATTGAATGTAACGTACATAAAATTCCCCAGACTTTAAAAATGGTAATCTATTTGGAAGTGTGATTTAACATAAACGGGTGACGTTCAACCCAAAAATCTAACCAAAGCTCTATACTGCATTCCAAAGGATCACTTGCAGTACATCCTCCAAGAGTCCCACATCAGATCTAGGTCTAAAGCTGGACTTTCCTAGGTCTCGCAGGAAGTATGACTGAGCCAGGAACTCCATATTACACCATTTTCATGGTGGTTCTAAATAAGTGCTAATCGAAATCACTCAAGTAATAATCTATTATTGAACTTGAATCTATGTATTCCCCAGAAGGAGCTCTTGTAGCACATTTTGGGAAACGCTGTAGTCTACTACAACTAACAATGGATAAGTAGACCATAGACCCTCTATGTCTAACCAAACAGAACAAGTTCCATTTTACTATATGGGGAACATCAAGGGAATCATGTGTGTACAGCACGTGCGTGGGGAGACTCATCTCAGAGTCAAAACACTTTCTCAATAAAACAATCCATTTCTAGTTTTATAACAAGTTTGAGAGTCCAGATGCAAAGAGCACCTGCATGGACAAGTTTCATCTATTACTCACACATTTTACTGTAGTTTATGGCAAGTGGAAATAACCAGTGACGTTTGTAAGAATTGTTGCATTAAAATAAACTTTGAACTGAATACAATGTAATGGAGTAAACTGTTGTGCGGCCGTTCTCTTCTACCTTCTACGATCCATATGAACAACTATTAAAAACAATCTTCAGGAAAATGACTTGGACTTTCACTGTATGGCTATTGTGTATTGTGACTCTTTACAGCCACCTCAGGTGTTACTGGAGTTTCTTTTCCAAGTGATTGTTCCACAGAGGACCTTCTATTGCACCGGTGCACATGGAGCTGGTGTGGAGTGGTCACCTGTAGATGGAGGCCTTGTCTGCATCCATGGGGCTCTGTGCTTCAGTGTTCGGACTCTGGCCCTCGGACAGTGCCCCCTCCATGAACTTCTGCTCAGCCTCAATGTCCACCTTCACTCCGCCCTGCATCTAACACACACAGGAACATTAGGACACAGCACTGACAGCAAGACGTCTGCAAAACTCAAAGAAATTAGCAGTTGACTTTGACGTTAGAAATTGTATTCAGAAATGAGTAGAGCATGGCAGCATCTTTGTTCAATATCAACAACAAATATTATATACATGTCATACTAGAATAACAAATACATTATACTGAATAAATGATTACTTTGAGTACCGATTGAATGGTGCCCTCCAGCAATGATCTCAAATGTATGTTTTTGGTTTAAGGTAAAAGAATGTGCCACTCTCTTCAAACCAATAGAAATCTGATTGTCCAGGATACAGAGCACATGACATTGAAAAGGATCGGTTACTTATTGCCACAGTGAAACAGCTAAAGCACAGGGGGGTATAATAACCCCTGTGGTCTTAGGAGGTCATATGAGGAAGAGCCAAAGGCCTCAGTAAACACAGTAGAGGGTGTTTAGCACAACCGTCACATGAGCGCACTCACCAAACCAAACAAGCTCTGATCACAACACAGGAACACTTTTATATATACTGTATCACATGTATCATCAAGAGAATCGTTTTAAAGACTATAACGTAGGATGACTATTATGAAGTCTTATTTATTATTCTCATGTGTTGAAGATTTAAGAGATTCTATATTTTTCACACAATGGAGAAATGTCAGTGTTGCATCATAAATTACAGACCGTAGTAACGAGGAGCACACAGCACAAGATAAATTAATAACTACACTAAAACAAAATAAAATCTCCAACTCTAGCATAAAAACCAGTATAAAATCTATTTTTAGCATACTAAGGAAAGAAGTCTAACATCTCTAACTTTAGCAGGATGAAGAAGCAAGGCTCAAATTCAAAATCCCCTGACTTTCCCATAATAAGAAGCAAGATAAAATACTGTATACGCTATTGCAAGTAATATATAGTTGTATGTATACATCTGTACATGTTAGCAGCATGAGGGTCAATGAAAGGCCAAACCAGACAAGGATTATTTACTAAGACGGAGAGAGATAGAGATATATAGCTTATCTAACAGATATTACCACATAGATTTAAGCCAGGTTTGAGCTTACTGCCTTTCCCCCCCCCTTTGAACAAGTTTGTAGAAACATTTTCACTAACTTGGATCAGCTCAGCCTATGAAACATATTTAAATTTAAATGCTGTAAGCAGACATGTGCTTAGAGAGATGTTCCCTATGCGTCCCCTGCACAGAGATCACCTGACCCCCTCCTGGCATCGCGATCCAGTCCTAGTCCAGCACTAATGTTACGAAAGCTTCTTCTCACCGGACCCCTACTCGGTGCAGCCATAGCCCCTACTGCTAGCGTGTGACAACTGCCCACAAAGCTGAGATTGAGCTAAAAATACAGACGGCCCGAGGTGGAACATTCTGATTAGTCAGAGATTGTTCTTGAATCACAACTCGCTCCCAAAACTTGGCAGCAGAAGAAAGAGGTGTCTGTGGGAGATTTACATAAGAGCAGGCGGGCAGCTCCTCTGCTCCGGCTTATGGAACAGTTCACACTGAAACACGAGGAAGATGCAGCAAAAGATACTGGTGCAATGACAACATGAGGGAGAAATGGGTCGAATGAAATGGAGTTAAGTCAAGTCACATCAATGTAGCACTCCTGAACAGTGTACAGGGAGAAGGTCCAGGTTTGGTCGACACATGCAAGACCTTTAGAAGAAACTAATGCCACCGTCGTCGAGAGGAGGTGCATCACACGACTCATGTTTCATCATCTTGTATTTTTTATATAGATCTTCAATGTCCTATCAAAATTATTTCCGAAATGAAATGAAATATGTTTACTAGACTTTATCCAGATTTTCTGTGTCCCCATTTACTGTCGATGCAGTAGCAAATGACAGAATTCTGAGCAATAGAAAACATAAGTGAAAGCAGTGAAGTGATTTACTGGTGAATCAGTGTTTTTACTTTCAAACAGAAAAAAGGTACATAACAAAATCTCATTTTAATTTGGATTGGATACTTCTGGGTGTAACAACCTTTTAAGTTCTTCACTTTGCCCCAACATTGTTATATTGCAAACCTCCAACACGGAACAGATTTGTTCAATCTTCAATTACTTTAATGTTATTCACATAGGAGTGTTTTATAGTGTAATGTATTTCACTCCTCTTCTTGAGTTTGTGAAAATAAAGAACATTTATTAAGAAATAAATGATACATGTCCATATATGATGATCTGTGTGGACCTGGTGAGACTGACCTGTTGCTCTCCCTTCTGGTACTTGTCTACAGAAACCTGGGCTGCCATGGTTCACTGCTCACACAGCAGGAGCTGGGACATTATAGGGCACTGCAGATCCCCCACCTGCGACATGGCACAACATGTGGACATCAGCACCACCACCATACAAAGTGCGAGTTGACCACGCTATGCATTACCCAAACAGACCAATAATTCTGAAAGCATCAGCCAAACAGCATCATGTGTTGTCGTCGTTATTACTGCTGGATTGTGACAAAATAAAAACAAAACAAAGATTTGATGATGGTGAAATATAAAATCAAGCTTTGTCATTATTTATTAATTTGTCATTGTTCTTTATCTGTAAACCAAACACTGACAGGAATGCAGACCTGTCCATTAGATGATGCAGGCAAACAGACAATGAGATTAAAACAAAAAATCTATTGAAATACGCACATTAGATCATAATGTAATAGATTGAAAATGACAATGCACGTCATGCCATTTATAAAATCCAATGCCACCATTATAGATAATGTTTATTTCGGACTTAGTCCTTATTCTTAAAGTATTCCAGAGCCTTAAAAGAAGGAATTATCATTTTCCATGTGTGTACCAACTTTTTATATTATAATATACTATAATCAATTGTCAAACATCATTTCAATTAAAAGTTAAAGCATGAATTTGGCTCCATCAAATGTGATAATAATTACAATTTAATGCGTTGATGCTTGGTGCACTCTGGTAAAACCTGTACTCGTTCTCAGTTTTTGTCAAAATTGATTTGTAAAATCATTGTCAACTTTATTGTTGCAGCTGCTGCATCAAAAAGGAAGCAGCCGCTTCGATTATTGTCGGAGACATTCAATAAGTGATTTCATTGTTTTTTCCCATACCTCCATTTCTCTGCAGCTTGAATAACCACACTGTGACAGGCCTAATTACATCAAGCATCTTCATGACAAAACTTTGATCAAATATAGACTCTGAATCATAACACTTGAGTGGGACTGTTGATCTTCAATCTTTCACTAATAATTAGCAGAGGCGAAAGAATTCCAAGGCTTTTGTCCCAGAAAGTATGTATCCTGATGTAAATGAGGGTTGAAAGCGATTGACAACAAAGTAACAGACAGACGTGTAAACATACTGAAGTTAGAGCATTTCGTTTATTGAATTCATATTTTTCCTTTGAGGGGAAGTGCCAAGGCGTTTTCTGTGTTTAGTGACTGGGAGCTTATGTTTACACACCCACCACGATGGATGATAACGTTAGCATGTGGCTAGCTCGGGGTTAGCTTCAGGGGGACACTTGAGAAGACACGGGGCGACTGTAAACCCGCCAAGAAAACGGCACAAATCTGTATAACCGACTAACACGATGCAATGTATTATCCGGACAAGGTTACGGGGGGTGCTTTTGTTGTTTACCCCACCGCGGCTAACGGGCTAACGGTAGCGCCCAAGCTAGCCAACTGCGAAAAGTGCCTCTCGCGCTTGTGTGCAGCCAAAATGCACGCGCCATATTTAGCCAAAGGACTCGCTGCCAAAAACACTGCTAACGAGGCTACAGCCAGTGACAAAAAAAGACCAGCGGAGGATTGAGACAGCTCTACAATGTGTATGGCAACAACACAGCCATTGATAGAACAACCATTTGGTATAAAGGGCATCCGAGAGTGAGCGGATTGATTTGCTAGGATTCACGGCACTGCACAGGCCAACACAGCCGCCGCTTTATCAAAAATCTCCCCCACATCAGTCAATCAATCAGACTGGGACAGCTGCCTAGACTTCCCCTCCCTCCACGGCGCGATCGCTTTCGGCCTGGCTTCGCGTCTGTTCCCTTCTTTTCGCTTTCCCACTATCCCCAGTCAGTCAGTCAGTCAGTCCCGACATTTTACCCCCTCCCTCACTCAGTCCCTGCCTCGCATTACACAGATTTTTTAAATATATATATTCCCCTCCGTTGCGCTGATTCCATTTGATTGCCGTAAAAAAAAACAAAATCGCGCTCCGAACGCCCTGCTCGTGTCCACACCACTCGCCCTGGGGCATTTTCGCGTGCGGCCCAGATTGTTTGATTGATAGGGAACGGAAAAAGAGGGATTTTGAGTGACAGCTTACCTGAGTGCCAATCTTCGTCACACTGACAAGCGGCTGCAGCAATCGGGACCCGCAGTTGTCACGTTGCGTCATCGCGTAAAGGCCGCGGATAGCACGCAGGGCGATTCTGCTCATGAATATTTATGAAGTGGGCGGAGACATGACGTGCCCAGTCCCTCATGTGAAGAGGCGAGCGTCTGACTGTGTGTACTGTATCCTGAGCGGTGGAAATTATATCCACGATGGCCTCCTTTTCTATGAATATCTCGTCCGCGGCTCCTATTTAGCGTGCTCATGAACAATGTCAGCGCCGAGGGGGGGTTGGATGTGTTTTTGAATTGCATCTTTGTACACTGAAATTCTTCCTCCTACTGTTCAGTCAACATGTAATGAGCTGTGTGGTAGTAGCAGGGCTATAGCAACAACTTTACGTATGTCATGTTCTGGTTTAAGGTTCAGGAACACTTTATTAATGATGGCACTCATAAGATTTTTGTTGTAACTAATGTGTAAAATCCTATGTAGCTGTCTTTTTGGTTCTGTTTATAAACCTCTATGTAAAAAAAAATGGATACTGACTACTGCTTGACTAATGCTCTTGTATTTGATTAATTTGCTCATAACACGATTACAAACGCACATTACTTTGTTTTAACACTTATAGCTTTACAGTGGCATTTAATATTGGACTACTACCACCACCACTCCACACAGATCTGTTCATTTTGTTCACTATATTCTACAACATTGATATAAAAAATGGCAAATTAAAAAGTTATTTGACTTAGAAACTGCAGAACAGATAAGCACAGCCTCCTCATCATTGATATACGTTTATGTTTGTAAAATTTGAAATGTCTATGTAGCCTTCATGATTCCAACATGTTTGCCCAGGACTGATTTTTTTATATACACGTATTACAAGTACAGAGAAAGGAGCGGCTATAGGTGGCAGGATGAATAAGCAAGACTTGATATGAATTAAACATAGGCTAAAATAACAACAAGAGATCACTAATACAAGTAGCTGAAAAAAAGTATCTGTTACACAATGTGACCCCTTCAACATGTTGTAAGAATATACAGAGATGAATAATGAGAATGAGAAGAATATGCAAAGCTAGTTAATGTTGTTTACTGACAAATACTATGGTAACTTATTGTGGATGTGGGAAATTGAAAATTTGGCATTTTGTTTTTTGAATATAAAGAATGGTTTAGAGACATGCTCGTGACTGCTAAACACCTAAATAAACCATTAAGGTATAATCTTGGAAACATAATTTTAATTTCCAATACCGGCATTTTTGTTTTCAGTTTTACACTGAATCAAAGTCTTGAACCGGTTTGAGCTGAAGAGAGAGTCTATAAGTAAAGATTTGGATTTACCACTCAGTCAATGTTCCCATCCTCACCTACTGTAGGGTCACTGTAGTCTGTTCATTGCTATTCACCCTCTGTGCTATTCTATGTTTTATGGCGTGATGATGGCTACAGCCCCCCTGGCCCGGAATTATGTGCTAGGAGCCTCTTCAGTCCTGCATGGCGTGGCCTCCTTCTACAGCCTTTGTCCTGGATCTACAGCCCGTTGGTTTGTCAAAAGAACCACATAAACAATCTAACTCAAGAGAAAACCATTTTTGGACAGTGGTCACCACCCCCCATGTTTATATATGTTTATCATTATTGCATTTCCTTTGTTCAAACCGTTAGATTTCATTTCATTTCATTTTATTGAGAGCTCCTGACGTAATACACGAGCTATTCTACCTGAGAATCCAAACAGTTTTTGGAAACCCAAAAAGTTGAGTCCTCGAGACAAAAACATTTATTGAATGGGTAATGCCTGAAGGGAGATACAAGCAATCAAATTAGTCTCGAGAGAGGCGGCACACTCCCTTATAGTGTGGGGAGCTCAGAGTAGAGTCACTGCACCTTCATGATCCATGAAGATCCAGGACACGCTGGAGAAGCCATGTCTCTCATCAACCCAGTAAAGTGGGGAAAAAGGATGGATAAATGTTGTAGAACAATTATGAGTATCAAATGCAAAGACAATCCAGAAGACTGTCTGAATTGGTCTGAAGCTAAATATTTATAAATCTAAACACATATAAATAATTTCTTTCATTCCTACCTTTATACACAATATAAAGGAGAGAAGAACACTGCTCTCATAAGACTTAATTTGGTTTCATCTCATTGTCTAATAACATTTATGAATTCATATATGCAAATGTTTAAGCTAGGGGAGAACCGCAGCTCAGTGATTGGCTGAGCAGAAGTGGGCCATGCGGTGACATCATTAAAATAGAAGCATGGACTCAGCTTTATTCTAACAAGGCCCCGGGGCGCCATAGAGCTGTTTGATGTGTGCTCACATTCTACATTCAATTATAGCACAACAGGAAGAAGGAAGGGAGAGAACAAAAGTAACTCACTGGGGTCCGCACTGCAACAAATGTTACTGCTTCATTATGTGGAAAATGAAAGCTGGATTTGTACTATTTTTAGTGCTGCATTTAATTTAAGGCCAAATCCAAATAAACAATGTATATTTGATGATGCTGTAACACTGGCAACAGATGCAAATTTTGGAAGAAAGTGTTTTTAGGATCCGCATCAGATTCTAATACTTGCCCCAATAGGTGGTGCGGATACTAAACTAGTATGACGACCATTTGATAACAAATCAAATCAAATTATCTGATCGCTATTATACAAATCAGACATTGTTCCTCCATTTGATTTACATTTTTATATGGTCTAGATAACAATTAAAATGTAATTGTTTCGACATGCTACAGTACATTATATACCAGTAAAAGTTTGATGAAACTCACAAATAAAAACTTTTCAGATATTGTATTAATATAGCAGTAATTTGCACTGTGTTTTTGGGGTCTTTGTCATAAACAGACTAACTTCTGGATACATGTTAAAGATAAAACCAAGAACACAGAACTTCCAAATTAACATTTACTTTAGTCTTTATTACCGTAACAATTCTCAAAACATTTATGACACAATTTGGACAATTTCTCGGTTGATTTCCCTTTCAGAATAAAATAGTGTTTCCCATTCCAATGTTACACAAGCCATCCCAAACATATTTGCATCGAGTGAAAAAATAAGCTTGTTTTGTCGATTTACCCACATATTTTAAAATCAATTACCCCAACAGATGAAGAGTAGTTGCGCCACTATTACATTATATTTAGCACACAGACCCTTTTGAATTTCACCATCAGAAAGATTCGACTTGGATGTTTATGAGTGGTGCAGTTTAAAGGTACAGTGTTTAGTGCAAGGGGGAGGGCCGTCCGGAGGAGGGCTGCGGCAGACGGTACTTGGCCATCTCCACGTCGAGGTCGGCGAAGGTGTAGGGCGTGTACGTATGGTGGTCATAGTTCTTGTACGTGGAGTTATTGAACGGTTCCTCTGGTTCCGCCGCAGGAGGAGCCGCTTCTACACAGGAAGGACAAAAGACATGAAAAACCACACCGGACATTTATGGTACTGTTGCAAATAAGGAAAATTGAATGTCAGATGTGTCAAAAAGACAAGAGAATGAGCCTTTGAACCAGTTTGAGTCAGTGGTGGAAATTCTGGCATAGTGGGGACTTAAATCATATTGGTCTACAAAAGATACCTGTCAAAACAATTCTCAATCTCGAGTTAGCTTCAGGTTAATTTCAATGTCAAATATGTTTTGTCTGCGGATTTTTTCCAAATATTGCGGCATTACATAATGTTAGGAGGTGAATCCAGGAGGAGCTGTTATATGTATCAAGATCTAGTTACAAGCTAGATCTATGAAGACACCAGTACTCTTGCAATACTTAAGGATGTTTAACCCATTGTTTTGAACTACATTTCTCCGGTCTTTCATGTGGGATGAGATGAAGCACAAACAATCTGATCAAAACGCACTATTCCTAAATATTTAACCAACAACCATAGTAGGTAATAAACGCATAGTGTGCACAGAGATTCTAGCTATACACTAGCTCCATGTTGTTTAACGTGTTCCTGCCCGACTGTCGTTCCACCACCGCTCACACCACAGTTCAGAGGCTTCTCCACGTCAGTTCCAGTGTGCTTGCTATAAGTGAAAAAGGTGACAGCCCATTTCCATGAGTTCGCACATGAACAAAGGCCGGTTGTCAGGGAGGTGCTTCCTTAACGACAGCAGGCGCTTTACCCGACCCCCCGTGGAGCCAGAGGTGTGAAGAGTCCGGCCCGGGACAGAGGACTCAAACGCAGTCTCCACAACGCACTGGAACTGTGTGCTCATGCTAAAGCTAGTATGTACCAGTTTTGTACTTTCGGGTTTGGAAAGATCTGGGCAGTGCACTTTGGTATAGAGCTGCTAATCAGTGGACCCAAAAACAGCTAATGTGCTCCATGATTTCCCATTTTTGCGGAAGATTTGGATTTAGGCATTTACTTGATATTTGAGCCAGATCAAACTCAATTCACAAGGTTCACTTTATTATTAGCATTTTTGTGATTTAATGCTTTAACATTTTTAGTCTCTAGAGCTTTTTTCACGTCTTTAGTCACCTCGACAAAGAACTACTCATATTTGTGTATATTTTGTCTGCTTGTCCTACTGTCCTGTATGTGCTCTGCAACATTGACATTTCCCCACTGTGGAACAAATAAAGGACCCCTTATCTTATCCATTAACAGTTAACTTCAGAAAAACTTTTAATAAGAGTAGATATCTTTGATACCTCCTGCAATTCATAAGGTGGAGAGTCAGAAATTATGGTAAATGACCAGTTTTATACTTTTTCCCTGGACCCCGCTCCCGTCTGTGTGGAGTGAGAGACAAATGCCCACAACTATTGTAAAGCGCTTTGTGACTCTGGTTTGTGAAATGTGCTATAAAAATAAAAAGATTACTTACTAATGCACATTGTTTTAGCAAATGTAGTGTTGTGCCAATTTAAGCACAGATAAAACTGTTGTGCTGATTGAAGGAGGACAACTCATGAATTAGAAAACTCTTCACATAGAGTCAAATAAAAATATTAAAAAGGGTGAAGTAACTTTTATGATGGAATCTTGACTCTTTAGAAAATGATTCTCAATATGTCAGACTATTATATGACAGGCCTCTTTTTCTTCATAAAATAAACATACAGAAATCCCATGCTTTTTGGAGACACTGCTAAAAGGTCTAACCTCCAGGAATTTATAATATTTGTTTTTGGAACAAGATGGAACGATTGAAACTTTCAAATCGAGTTTGATTTGATACGTCATACATGATATAATTGGAATACAATAAGTTTAAGACCATAGTTAGCCAACTAATATACAGCAGAACCTTAGTGCACACATGAACCAGTGCTTTCCAGGTCATGAGAACTTGTTCCAGTGCAGTTTTGGAAACTGTTGCTTCCTGGTCCAAAGAAATTAGTCACAGAAACAGTCGATTGTCCCTCGTTCAACCTTCAACCTGAGGAAACGCCTTGAGCATGCACCAACCGTAACGTTAATACCATATGACATGAACCATACACATATACAATCCGAAACACAGCCAATCATTGTTCACAGGCGGAGAGAGGGAAAAGGAAGGAGGAAGACAACGGCCGTAGATGTGGAAGCAGGATTCACCAGTTGGTCGGTGAAGTGTGGGGAGACAGGAACCAAAAGGAACCAATCAAGTTTACGCTTTTAGATGCAATAAAACAAATGGGATTTTCGGATGTAATCCTGCTTCGAGAGTTAAACCCAGGCTTTACGGATGTGCACTTTTAACATTATCCTTAACGCTAACATTACATGGCACATGAACAAAACGTTAATATTTGTAACCTGTATTTCAAGATAAAGAAGCAAATGTTACAGATAAAACAAGATATGAAAACAATAAAGCCATGAGAAATTACTCGTAAAAAAAATATACAGTGCCTTGCGAAAGTATTCGGCCCCCTTGAACCTTTCAACATTTTGCCACATTTCAGGCTTCAAACATAAAGATATAAAAATTACAATTTTTGTCAAGATTCAACAACAAGTGGGACACAATCGTGAAGTGGAACGAAATTGATTGGATGATTTAAACTTTTTTAACAAATAAAAAACTGAAAAGTGGGGCGTGCAATATTATTCGGCCCCTTGCCCTAATACTTTGTAGCGCCACCTTTTGCTGCAATTACAGCTTCAAGTCGCTTGGGGTATGTCTCTATCAGTTTTGCACATCGAGAGACTGGAATTCTTGCCCATTCTTCCTTGCAAAACAGCTCGAGCTCAGTGAGGTTGGATGGAGCGTTTGTGAACAGCCGTCTTCAGCTCTTTCCACAGATTCTCGATTGGATTCAGGTCTGGACTTTGACTTGGCCATTCTAACACCTGGATACGTCTATTTGTGAACCATTCCATTGTAGATTTGGCTTTATGTTTTGGATCATTGTCCTGTTGGAAGATAAATCTCCGTCCCAGTCTCAGGTCTTTTGCAGACTCCAACAGCTTTTCTTCCAGAATGGTCCTGTATTTGGCTCCATCCATCTTCCCATCAATTTTAGCCATCTTCCTTGTCCCTGCTGAAGAAAAGCAGGCCCAAACCATGATGCTGCCACCACCATGTTTGACAGTGGGGATGGTGTGTCCAGGGTGATGAGCTGTGTTGCTTTTACGCCAAACATATCGTTTTGCATTGTGGCCAAAAAGTTTGATTTTGGTTTCATCTGACCAGAGCACCTTCTTCCACATGTTTGGTGTGTCTCCCAGGTCGCTTGTGGCAAACTTTAAACCAGATTTTTTATGGATATCTTTAAGAAATGGCTTTCTTCTTGCCACTCTTCCATAAAGGCGAGATTTGTGCAGTGCACGACTGATTGTTGTCTTATGGACAGACTCTCCCACCTCAGCTGTAGTTATCTGCAGTTCATCCAGAGTGATCATGGGCCTCTTGGCTGCATCTCTGATCAGTCTTCTCCTTGTTTGAGATGAAAGTTTGGAGGGACGGCCGGGTCTTGGTAGATTTGCAGTGGTCTGATACTCCTTCCATTTCAATATAATTGCTTGCACAGTGCTCCTTGAGATGTTTAAAGCTTGGGAAATCTTTTTGTATCCAAATCCGGCTTTAAACTTCTCCACAACAGTATCTCGGACCTGCCTGGTGTGTTCCTTTGTCTTCATGGTTCTCTCTGTGCTTTAAACAGAACCCTGAGACTATCAAAGAGCAGGTGCATTTATACGGAGACTTGATTACACACAGGTGCATTCTATTTCTCATCATCAGTCATTTAGGACAACATTGGATCATTCAAAGATCCTCACTGAACTTCTGGAGTGAGTTTGCTGCACTGAAAGTAAAGGGGCCGAATAATATTGCACGCCCCACTTTTCAGTTTTTTATTTGTTAAAAAAGTTTAAATTATCCAATACATTTCGTTCCACTTCACGATTGTGTACCACTTGTTGTTGATTCATGACAAAAAATTTAAATTTTATATCTTTATGTTTGAAGCCTGGAATGTGGCAAAATGTTTAAAGGTTCAAGGGGGCCGAATACTTTCGCAAGGCACTGTATATGTATATGGTTGGTGTGGGTCGAAAGTTATGAACACTTGGGTTTGAATGTATTCAAATTCAGGTTTTTGCAAATGTTTACAATAATCAATGAGGCTTTCGATATTCGAAAAGTAAAGGAAAGGAAAAATGGCCCCAAATTTACATTGACGTCGACTGACACCTGAATTGGAAATGTTTCAGCCCATGAAGAATCGACCAACCATGACCAGATAATGATGAATTTGGTAACTGCAAAGCATAGCCAGGGTTTAAAACAATGAAAGGGATACAAAAAAAGAATAGAAAAGGCATACAAAAAGGAGAGTGTGCAGCAAAGCGATTTCCGTAAGCAAAAAGGCAAATATTCACACTGCTACATGAACAGCCAAATCTGGAGCTGGAGCAAAAGCAAAAGCCGGCGACAGCAATGGTCGGATGAAGACACTGTCATGCAACGAATGAGTTAGAATTTAACATGGGAATGGATCGAGGGGCAATTTCACACCTGGAGTCATTTTGTACCTCTATGAGAAGTTTGAGATCATCATCCCACTGTACATCTTCATAACCAATGATGAACAATTGATGCTGTAATTGGACTTTTTGTAGTATTGGTTTCATGAGATTTCTTCAGGTCTTGCGTAGGCTAATGTTAGCACAGAATGTCATATGCAGTTTGACCCTACTCTAAAACACATTCGGACCAATTTGTAATACGTTAGCTGTGATTTGAAGGGAGAAAAAGACTATATTATATTTAGTCCCTTCACTGGTATCAGTTCATATCGGATATCGGCAGAAACTGAAGTATTGAAGTGCCATAAACTAGGTGCTAGAGCAGTGAAATCACTTTACATATGGTGTCCTCTTCACGCTGAAGAGGTCCGATAAAGCTTTCCATGTATCCTGAATTATTGTTCTCTCTCTGACTTAGAGGTCCTTCTCATAACAGGTATTGTGTGAAGCTTATGAAACGCAATAATTTGAGCTAATCTTTTTTCTCAAAATATTGCTTTCATGTCACATAATCTCAAACATGGTAGTGCGTTTCAGTCCTGAGATTAATGAGCTTCCAAAGTGGGCATCACTAACTAGACAGGTGTGAAAGTGCCCCATAGGAACAGTGATAGCGGGCGGCAGCGTGAGCTACAGTGAGTGGCACGGGTTAACATCTCCACACTCCACATAGAGCTTGGTGTGAAGGGGTCCGCAAAAAGAGGTAGCATGTTGTGGTTGTTTTAGAGTGTGTACCCTCAGACGCTTCGGCCGCAGCCAACTCCTCCTCGGCTTTGGTCTCCACAGCCGGAGCCGGGTCTACCAGCTCCTCAGCGCTGGCCTCTGCAGTCGCACTAAGGGGGGTTTCAGATGGTTCTACAGGGGTTTCTACAGGTGCGCTGGCTTCTTCTGGGGCCGATTCAAGAGGTTCTACTACTTCCTGGGCAGAGGTAATTACTTCCTGCGCTGGTTCGACAACTTCCTGCGCTGGTTCGACAACTTCCTGCGCTGGTTCAACAACTTCCTGCGCTGGTTCGACAACTTTCTGCGCCGGTTCTGGAGAGGCTTCTACTATTACATCTGAGGTCGTCTCGGCGACATCTTGTGCTGTTGCTTCGACTACACCCGGGGATGTTTCAACCACTTCCTGCGTCGATTCAACAGCTTCGGAAGCAGCGGCTACAACTTCGGGAGCATCATCTTGAGCCAATTCAACAACTTCTTCGCAAGGTTTGGCAACTTCTTCTGCTACAACTTCTGAGGCAGACTGTGTAACCTCAGGAGCAGAATCCACAAGTTCTTCAGCCGAAACAACAACCTCTTCAGTCGATGCTGCCTTGACCACTTCCTGTTCTTCTGCCAGAACTTCTGGGGCTCGGTCCACACATTTCTGGTCTAACTGGATACCTTCCACATCTCCTGAAGGGGATTCTCCATCTCCACTGGCTTCAGGTGATGCTGCCTCAGCTTTCTCTTCACTGATGGCATCTCCAGAAGCTGCCATGACAAGTGGTTCGCTAACAGAGGCTTCGGCTGTGGTTAGAATCTCAGGGGCTGGATCCGTCAAATCTTCCACTGCACTAACGGCCTCGTCAATACCAGAAGTGACTTTAGGGGCATCATCTGTCACATTGTCCTTCACATCAGGGGCTGGTGCTTTGACCTCTGTTTTCTCATCTTCTGAATCAGAATCAGAATCAGAGTCAGAATCACTCGAGGATGAAGAAGATGCATCGACAGGAGCTGCAGCGGACTCAGAGGACTCAGACTTGACTGTGCTTTCTGGGGGATTGGCTTCTTCAGGCGCAGCTGTAGATTCAGCTACAACTGGCTCTTGGCTTTCTGCAATCACTGGAGCAGGATCCACTAGTTCTTCAGCACTTGTGCTAACTACAGGCTCAGCTTCGGCAGCTTCGGCTTGAGCGACAGAAGTAGTAGTAGTAGTCGTCTCAGAAACCTCAGCTGCCACGGCCACTGGTTCTGGAGCAGTGGTTTCTGGGACTATAGGAGCTTCTTCAACTGCTTCAGCAACTACCGCAGCTGCGGCGCCTGGCTCCGGAGTTGGGGTTTCTGCTTGTGCCTCAACATGAGAACTAGCAGCAGGTTCGGTTGATTCTAAAGTGGTGCTTAAATGTTCAACTTCTGGGACTGGTACAATTGGTTCTGGAGTGGGGCTTTGTGTTTGAGGTTCTGTGGTTGTTTCAAGGTTAGCTGTGGATGTAGCTACAGATTCTGCTGCTGCTGCAACTAAAGGCTGTGAGAAAACGCCAGGATCTAAGAGTTTAACAGGAAAGGCAACGGAGGTCTTGTAGTTGATAAGAGCAGCTCGCTCGTCTGGAGCCGCTACTGCTGAGAAAACAGTCAAAAAGAGTTAGGACTGGATACACTTAACAGATTGGCATTAAGTGTATTCTCAACAGTAGAACAGTAGGTGCAAGACATGGTTTGGTGGTATAACACCCATAGTACTTTCATATCAATCAAGTCTCAGGTTGTGGCATTAAGTTAAAGAAGGGTAGAGTATACAAGATGTGACACTAGGCTCTAAAATAATCCTTCCAGCCATGTCATCCAAACACAATACATTTTTCCTGTTCAAACAAGTTGTAAAGGAGACCCTTGAGCAGTAGCCCCATATAGCATATTCTCAAATAATGTATTGTCTTAATTAGATGGGCTTTGTTTACTTTGGTAACTAGGCAACTACATCCATCATGATTCATTTCCAATGTTGGGCAAGTTACTTATAAATTGTAATACATGATGTATTTTATTGGTTACAGGGATAACAATGTCAAGTTCATTTACCACTGTGGAGCGAATAAAGGTTATATCAAATAATATTGTATAATAAAAGTAGTGATGCTACTGTACATACGTTAAATTGAAAACACCATGAATGGTTTGTGATTTTTTTCAAATGTGTTGAAAGCACAAGTTTCCAACATGCATATATTTTTATTATTTAGTGGATATAATTCCACCTTGTAAATATGCTGTGTGTTTCCAAGGCTCAGGATTGACCACTCTAACTGGCCTTGATGAGGTAGTATGATATTAAAGGAAACACCCAACGACTCAAAAGGCAAACTACTGACAATGTCTCCAGAGGACTGTCTGTCCTAGAGTTTCTAGAGTACTCCTAACAAAAGTTCAGGTCAGTATCATCTATTGGCACAATGGACTAGTTTAACTTCTCATCTTGTGTTTCCTTCTTCAATTCAATTAAATGTGTATGGAATTATAGTTATTTGGAAAGAACAATTTATTAAGTTTAATACCAATTTATTACAGTCACCTCTACAATTATGCAGAGCAGATCTGCTGCTCAAACAGAAAAGAAACAAATGATTAAAACTATGTTTTAATGAAACTGAGTATTACAAATGTGAGACTACTTGTCGTTATGGAAATGCTGTTTTCACTGCTTCCAAAAATCTTACTATGATATAATATGACTGGATTCAACAAGTGTTTAATTATTTGTGTCTATTTTAAGTGAATCAAATATTGAAAAGAAAGACTTTATAATGAATGCTTCTGCAGTCAGTTGACAGTTCTAACCTGCTCCAAAGATGGGCATCTACCCAGCTTTAACACTCATGTCACTGTCTAAACAGAAGTATGTTTAGAAGTTACTAGTCCTCACATTAACGTGTTTACAATGGTCTCCTTCTTAGGCTCACTACTGTACATCCAAGGAGCTATATCCAATCGAAACCTCACAAACCGTGACATCTACTGCCATCTACTGTTGAGAAAACACATTTAAAACGCTTTGCTAAGAGTAAAGTATACCATATATTTTTTGTAAAGATTATTTGATGACAAAGAGAATTCCAGCAGTGCTCATGCTGGGCCAATGTAGCACCATCAATGTTAGACGTTTACAACATAAAGTATAATTACACATACTGATGGGTGATGAAATTAAAATTCATAGTAATAATTACATTGAAGGGAAGCCGAGTCAATCAACTTTAAGGGTCAGGTGGTGTCGTTGAAGATTTGAGTTATTGAAGTTTGCAGAGACTTAGAGACTCTTACCTGCGGCAGGTTCTTTAGCCCCAGTGCACAGTCTGGCAACAGGACGAGCCCTCAGAGCACGCAGGCTCTCCAGCTGGAGACACTACAACAAAACCACATCTTTCTCACCCCAGTGAAATACATGATTCAACAACCATAAAACAAGTGCGTTATGATGTTTTTTTTTGTTTTTTTTAACTTGACATAGGTCATACACATGCTGAGAAGAGGTGGTTTTTGATTCTAAAGACTGCAGAATGAAATTAAAATGTGTTTACAAAGTATTATATCAAAAAACCCAATCTGTTAAGTCATCTCTATGAAGAGGTTCTCCAGGGGCATCACTTGAGCTGGTCAAATGTTTGGTCAAATGCACAGCTCATTCTATATTCCGTGATTGACGAATACAATCGGCCAACTAATAAGCATAATCGTTGTTAAAGCCCTACATTTCTTTTAATGTATGGTCTTTACATTTAATACGTTATTTTTCCCTTCTTCATCGTGACGTCAAAATAACCTTTGAGTTCATGTCCTTTAAACCCCAATATCCTTGTTTACATAAATACTACAAATACAGGCGTATGTAATTGCAGTTTGAATACAACAATAATACTGATACATTTACCCTTCGTACGCCTGGTATGAATATTGGGAGCGCCTTGAATACCCAAGGTGTGTGTCATTGGGGGTAAGTGATTTATTCGCTTTTCTTGACTCGTTAAATACAAACATTAACCATAATTTTTACTGATTTTATTTTATGTTACATTTTCCTTTCTGGTGCTTGATAAAGTAACCCTTGCTAAGCCGCGTAAAGCCGTATATAAGTAAATTACCTTGAGAGAAGCTGCTCGTCCTATCCGCAGCAGAGAGGTCGCCATCTTGACTTGCTGCTGATATTATTGTCCGGCTGGAAACTATGATTGAATAAAGGTTCCGCCTTTGATTAGAATAATTGCCTCTACACAACTGTCCTGTCAGGATAAATTATGGGGAGGGAATTTATAAACTGTTTTCTTCTTCCCATTTAATTTGTGGCTTATCCATGACAAATGAGACATGTGTGCATGCATGCATATGTATACTTATAAGGAGAAGAAGATTTATGAATGCAATGTGAAACCAAATAAATAGTAATTAAACTGTTATATGCTCGAAATCAACACAAACGTCTTGTGAAGTGAATATTAAAGTTTGTCTGTGTGTTATTTGTTTATCATCTTAAAGCTGGGGTATCTGACTTTTTTCATCATAAATGACACATATTGTTTGTCCCAATTAAAGAACTAATCAGACCAATTACTTATGAAAAACTATTTCACGTTGAGTGTGGCCTGTGGGTGGTCCTCTCTTTTTCACGTGCCTAACCAGGTGGAATGTAATACATACTATTTTTTCTATTTAAAACGTTTTGTTATTTTTTTTTTAGGTTTGAATTAGGTACATATAACGACAGTACAGATATCTAGCTGCATAGGGCGCCCTCTGGTGATACTTAGATAGTATTAAAAGTCTATGTGCGCTCTGCCTCAACCACAAGCACAACACGCAGCTGAAGAGAATCAACCCAGCGAGCACATCTCCAATCTGACACGTAAGGACCGAAGCGTTTTCTTAATATTACATCCAAATAATGGTTTTCTTATATTATGTTGTCCTTCTTATGGTAAATAAATAACATTTCATTAGATTAAGCTGTATTTGTTACTTTTATACTGTGTATTTACTGCCTCAAAATCCAGGGCTGACGTGGGATCAGTATAATGGTGAGTCTCAGGCTTGAATTGATGGGTTTGAGTATATAAGCGGTTGTGAAATATCTAACAGAAGCAACAACCCAAGGCATTTTTGTTTGATAAATGTGGATTTATTTCTTCAAGACAATTCTGGTTTGGACAAAAGAGTATGAAGAGGCAAAACTAAGATGCATTCAATTTGACCAATGTTTTATTTGTTTTATGACCTATATATTCATAAGAAAATTACGCTACAATGATTCAGAGGTCTTAGATGGTGTCTCGGATTTTATGTTGTTGGACAGCAAGATGGTACCATTTTTCACAGCATTTAATAATAATAATAATAATAATACATCAGTTTTATATAGCGCTTTTCAAGAACTCAAAGACGCTTCACAAGTTCATGACACAAACACACACGTTTAGACAGACACACAAAAAAATCTAAGAGTGAGGAAGAAGGGTAGAGAGTTTACTTAGATTTTGCTTTTTTTAGTCAAAAAGCAGCAGTTCCCATAAACATGCTCCCACCAGATAAGCTTGCTTCGACCTTCGCATAACCATAACATGAAGAGGAAACTCACCGACTCCTTCAAACTAGTGTAAACGTCTTCCCCAATATTCCCCAGATTGAATATTAGTGCATACATTTTTCTCCACTTGATTTCAAAAGTAACATAACAGAGTACTCCTTTCAGTTAACATGTACAAGGATCTTTCATAAAACCCCATTAAAAAATATATATAATATATGCTAAAGTTCTTCAATGCTTTGAGTGATTTTCTTTCAGCTTTGAAAACGATTCTTTCTCACTTTTTGAGTTAAAGCATAACGTTTTGAGGTGACTTACCTTTAATGTCAGGTTAGTGTCTATTCAGCAGCAATCCAATTTGGTCAATACTAAGTCCTTTTGAGTATTAGTCCATCTAAAGAAAACAATGCACAGGGTTTGGGTCTTAGGAGTAATGTTATGATTTATTTTCGTTACAATAGTTTTCAGCGTTCAGATGCTTTTTATGCCCAGGAAAAATCACAGCAGTCAACAGATAAGTTTCCTTCGACCTTCACATACCATAACACAAAGTGGGAAATCCCACACTTCTGCTTACTCGTGTAAGGATGAGCTCAGTTTGAAATGTGATTGTATAGAAAAGTCTTATGAAAGTTCTTTTGAAGTCGACGTTGCAGCTGCTTGTTGGTATAGTCTTTACTTGGAAGTACAAGTTTTTTAAAGGTGATGTCTGCAACTTTTGAACAGAATATATTTATGAGCCTAGTATCATTTAAATTCTTCCAAAGCTTTTCATAATGCAACTATTTCCTCAAACAATGACCATCACCAGTAAGATGGATGCTGAAGGATAAGTTGGACCAAGGGGGAATGGCCTCAGCTGTGCGCAAGATTCAAAGTCATTGCCTCCAATCAGGAACCTATGGGGCGGCTTGAATTAGCGCTTGCGTTTGAGGAACTTCTCTCCATCTTCACAACTCAACAATTCATTGAACTTTTACTTGGCGTTACTATGGTTCTGGCCACCAGGAGGTGGTGCATAGAGTGAAAGAATGACATGTGAAGAGTGTTAAAATAGCGCAATATAAAACCCAATTCTTATTATTACAGGTACAGCAATGCCTCAAGGTTCAATGGACCCAAACACGTCAGACCAACTTCCCCTGGCAGAGCAGACCTCCCAGCTCCAGACACCTCCAGACCCTCTTCGCACCCGTATCATCTACACCAGGGAGGAGCTGCTGGCCCTCAGGAGCTCAGGACTGACTTCAGACCTCCACGTGCCCACAGAGCTGATCCAAGGCAGACGACGTCGCAGAGGCTGCAGAGGCGGGAAGAAGAGGAAACTGTGGGCCCAGCAGAGGCAGGCCAAAGGTCTCTTGGAGGTCCCATGCATTTACCTTCCTATTGAATACCTATATGCATTTTGTATTTATTATCATATGCTCAATGCGGTTCACTTTTGGCGCCTGTGACTCAGGTTTTGGAGAGTGGAAGATGACATGGTTACCACCAGAGCAGACATTTCCCATTTATAATTCTTGATAAATGACTTATTAACTTGACCCAAAATCATCAAGTTTTATACTCTGTAAGACTAGCATACTTGAATATAATCTTGATTTTGAGTACAATAATAGAATAAGGCCTTAGATTTGTCCAAAAAAAGTAGGTGGTTTTATTGTATTGATTATTTTTCCTTTCAATTTTTTTCTCTACATTTTATGCTTGATCCACTGGAAAATCTTGTTTTAAGAAAAGTGTACTCAAATCAGGATATATTGTTCCTTCAAAAATCCTTAACACCAAACTCTTTGTTTTCTTCACTACAAAAAAAAAAGTGGCGAAATTAAAGCGTTCAGATTCAGTCAAACTGGACTTTAGGTTGTTTTTAAAATCACTGTCAACTGAGGAATTATTCCACACAGTAAATTAAATCGTGACATCCCTGAGAGACGTAGGAACCACACGATCAGAATGCTTTGTCTGAGAATCTACTCTTGTCAGCTGAGATTGTTTTTTTTTATTGTATGTCTCCTTTTGGGTCCATATATTTTAAACTGCTTTTATATCTGTAGAGTTGCATGTTTTTAAGGACTGGATACTCGTCATGGACACTTTCCATTGGTCTGTCATTACTACTGTATATATTCTCTTCTGCAGATGTTAATATCAATCTCAGGGTAACATTGTTGCCTTGGTTACTGATTCATATTAAATGTCTTTCTCAAACCCGGGTCGTCGCTCTGCTGTGTTGTTCAGGAGATTCTAGTTTAGCTTCTGATATGGCCTACGTAGTAACTTAACAATACATGGTGCTAAAAAAAATCATACAAAAGCCGAGATTTGAGCTTCAATAAACAATCTAATATGCATTCTGCCCACAATGACTGTTATTATTTCATGCTTTAAATATGTATATTAATGACAAAAGCTAAAACATTTCTCAAGCATGTTATGATAGTTGTTCCATTTCCTCCCCTCTATTCTGAATCTAACTTGATAAGACGTACGATAAGTTGGACAAGCCGAGACAAGTGGAAAGCCTCGGTTAGACGAGTCAAAATACACTTGAGTTTATTCACACAAGAATCGTACGTCAGCTACTTATGATTTAGGACTTTTCTATTAGTCCCTCGTGTGGAAGATAATTTCCCTCTCTTCAAAAAGGTTTTGAGGAACACTTACAATTTCAGAGCTCTAGAGTCTGACCCCATTTTGATCAAAATTCAAAGACTAATTTTCTCAGTTATACATGAGTGTTTTAAACTTTGAACAGTACAAAGATTACGCAACAGCAAGTTGTACAAAAATAATTTATTTTCTATGGTACAGTAAGTGGTCCCTGTCTCCTGAAGGTGTCGGGTCTCAGTCCTCCATAAGCCACATAAAGTGTGACAGGCATGTCCAAACTCGGGGCCAATTGCGGCCCTCTGTGTCATTTGATGTGACCCTCTGCCTTGCTAATCAGAAGTAGTCTTTGAGATCATAAACACAAGTTCACTGTGTCATCCATCCAACTTTAGCTCAGCCATTATAGACCTTGTTCTAAAGACCAGTACAGTTGTTGACTAGTGAGCTGCTGAGATAATAAACATATTTCATTCAACTTCAGCTCTGACATTTTAAAGCTCTGAACCAAAGACAGTTTTTCAGTCCGTGATGACTGCCTGCTAGACTAGTTTGAACTGTGGCCCTCTTACTAAAATGTTTGGACACCCCTGGTTTATGATCAGGGTCTGTGGGACTGAGCAGGCGACTCCCCCAGAGCAGGACGATAGACACCTGTGGGTTGGACCTGTCCTAATTTGTAAGTGTTTCTAGTGTGCTAGCTAAGAAACAAAGCGGCTACTTACATTGTATATTTTGTGTGATCTTACTACTATCCTGTATGTGCACTGCAACATTGAAATGTCTCCACTGTGGGACAAATAACTGTTCAGAGAGAATGTTTCACTGTGGAACTATGCAGGTGGCTTTGAATGAAAATGATTGCTCAGTGGGTCTTATGTGCCCTTAGAAAATACATGGGGTGAAAAGATCCATTCTATTATATACAATATTCTCACTTCACAATGTAAATCTGAAATGAAAATGGACTTCTATGAGACTCAAGTGTCTTCCTCATGCACAGTATTCTCTTATTTTCCCCCAAAATGCCCTTGAGATTCTTGCATGTTTGAGTAATAGGGTTTCATCAATCTGTGCACACATTCCGGCTCAAACGTGTCTGTTTCTAAAATGTTACGCAGCCATTTTCCAGCATGAGCAGCATCCAAATCCAGCACTACAACATAAAAGTTTTGTGCACACATAGTATATAATTCGTACCTAATACAACTGAAAAAGCAACTTATATCTACAGTTTGTCATTTAAATCTAACATAACATTTAAAAAGTTATGTATTATTTAATTAAATAAGTGTTCTATTACATTATACGTATTTCCTTATTTGCCATCTTGAGAGACATGTCCTGAGTTCTGGATAAAAGCAGTCCTCACACGGCCCTCTTTCAAAGCGTCCTCTGAAAGTCCCTCATAGATCCAGATCCAGGTCCAGGTCCGCACTGTGATCATCCCTTCGGTGGACAGAACCGCATCTCGGTCAGGGGTAAGAAGTGTGCCGCTGACCTCCAGGGCTCCACTTTGGTGGCGTTCTTGGCTTCCCCGTGGCGGGACAGGCCCAGGTAGAGGCCGGGGTATCGCTGGGAGGAGTAGGTGTTGTAGTGGTTCTCCTCCATATTCTCCCTCAGCTCACACTCGGCCGAGAACGACTCCTGCAGAGGAACACACTGCGTCACACATGTACAAGACAAACTACTGTGGTGTATGAAGATGTGAGACAGGCCTCCTCTCTGACAATGTTTAAAACCAAGTTAAAAACGGTGCTGTTTAGCTGTGCATACAACTGAGGGATTTTATATTTTTATCTTTCGTTTTAATGTTCTGTGATTATTTATGATTTTAATGCTATCTTGTTCAGCACTTTGAGTTGCCTTGTGTATGAATTGTGCTATACAAATAAACTTGCCTTGCCTTGCCTATGCAAAAGGGCACCCAAATCAATATGTTTTTCCTTTTATATTGTTTTTTTTGGAAAAGAGATGTCAGGTAACTATATCATATAGGAGACCAACACAAAGGTATTTGAGACGTGAAATCAAGTTTGTATCATTTACAAGAAGTGTATAAGTGTAAGGCATGTGCATGACTTCATTAAAAAAAATATATATATAACTTTCGTACATCCTCCTTTTGCAGAAATAACAGCCTCTAAAAGCCCCCATAACAATTAGTTTGGTCCAAAATACCTTCCACCAAAAAATCAGGTTTGATGGGTTTCGAGCTTAGACAGCCAGCTTTATATTGACCCACAAACAATATTCAGATCTGGGGACTGAGATGACCACTCCAGAACCTTGCACTTGTTCCTCCCAAACGTTTGCATTTCACAAGTCAAAATGTGTTTGTTGTCGTAAGAATGCCGTAAGAATTGAACGCCTCCCCGTGAAGGTGTTCCGGGCACGTCCGACTGGGAGGAGGCCCTGGACACGCTGGAGGGACTATGTCTCTCAACTGGCCTGGAAACGCCTTGGGGTCCCCCTGGACAAGTTGGAGGAAGTCTGGGCATCTCTGCTTTGACTGCTGCCCCAGTGACCCGGCAACGGATGAGGATAGACATATGCAGTCTGTCCTAGTTCTGAATACTACATGCATGTTTTATTTTTAAAGTACTTCATGGACTCGCTCCGCCTCTCAGGTCTGACTTTTTTTAAGCAAAGCCTCGTGTCAGGACAGAGCAGACCGTGAGGTTCTCTACAGAAGAAAAGACTTTGGACAAAACCCCACACTCCTCAGCTTCAAAACTCAACTTGAGCTATGGCTGAAAGCGTGACCTTTAAACCTGAGTCTTTATCCTTCCATAACATTGCCTTGTTCTAATGTTCTTTCTGTGTCATCTTTGTACCATACTGTATGTTTCTGTGGCGGCTTATGGACTGTGGATGAAACAAGCTTTTTAGCAATAATCTGTTCTATTTACATTTGTTCACATATGTACATTATGGAGCGTTGTCCTAAACAAATAAATAAACAAAATAAAATATAAAAACTGAATCTTTAAGTGACATACCTGAGTGTAGACACGTCCTGTGGCTTTGATGCACAGGTACCGCTGGCTCTTCTCACCCCTGATGGCCACCACTCCTGCCCTCAGGGCCAACACTCGGAGCCAGCCTGCAACACAGTCCAGGGACAGGAGCTTCTCAACATAGGGCCCGACCCACCTCAGGAGAAGCACAGTGACTCCAGGAGATTGAAGGCAGAAGTCCTCATCATGCAAACTTTTAACAACAGCAGTGGAGGACATAGACCAACGTACAAAACAGTTGTAGTGCACCCTAGTATTGCACAGAAACCTAAATGTCCTGTTGCACTGCCTGTTTTGCACTAACCCATATTGCACTTATGGATCACACATGCATCTTGTACAGTGGTGGACGTGAAACTTAATACTTAAATATATATGTTTGCATAACCCCAATAACAGTCTTCAGACGATGTTTGTTTGAAATTTGCTCATATTGTGAAATGACTCTAAAAGATATAATGTTGCATATATACAGTATTTGTTTGCTCAAATGTTACTTTCAATAGTAACCAATACTGACCTTTGTATCAGAACTTTTTTATTAAGTTTCCTAACTCTAGAATGGTACAAAACGCATGGATTGTGACGTGTTAAACTACTGTATTCTTTACATATTTAAATGTTCTCTGCTGCAATCAGATGGTTCCCGGCACTCGTGTGGACTCACAGGACTCGTTGGGACAGTGCACTCCCTGGACCACTCCACTGGATAAGATCTGCAGGTGGAGGCCGTCCCCCACGTTGCAACACAGCAGCTTTATCTGTGAGGAGCCGCTGCTCCACCGCGGGACTGCGTCTGGACACACAACAACAACTGCAGACCCAGACCTCACCTTTTACAGACAAGTCTCATCAAAGCATTAAGGGTTTCAGAATGAAGTGCAGAATACAGAGCTGTTTCTGCGTCTAATGGTGTGAGTGTAAAAGTAAAGGCTACTGTAGTGAGCTGTCCATCAGTGTTTGACCAGGGGCATGATATGAGCCCAGTCCCATTCAAACATGCACCAGAGGTCATATCCTCCAGCTTCTGTAGTCTTGACCAAACCCAGCATCAACATCTGCAGATGGCCCCAGGGGTTCCACTGTGACACTGCTCCTGACAGAGGCCCTTGTGGCATTGAAGGATGGGTCAAATGCACAATGCCCTCAAGGGACAATGACGTGGACCTTTGCCTCAAACAGGGGTCCCTGAGAAACCAGAAACTGCTGACATTTCTAAAAGATCCAAACCATTGGAAAACAATGTTAAAATTGGTTTAAATGTTTAACAGATGTTTTAGCTCCCTCCATGTGACATGTGGAAAACTTAGACCAGAGGACGATGGTAAACAAAGCACAACTAAAGAAATACATGAATTTAATCACTTTTCCACAGTTCATC